AAAGAACCAAATTCGAATAGCAGCAATCATTTCCCACTAGAATTCTGGCTATCTTTATGGCAAGTAACTACCAGGACTGCTATATGTAAGGCCTAGGAAATAAATAGAAAGTGGCAAAATGTATAGAACAGAACAAAAGAATTGTTGGAGGTGTAAAGAAGGGGAAGGTATATTTTATCATATGTGGTGGGGTTGTAAGATTATTTTAGAAATTTGGGAAATGATCTACAATGAACTAAAAAAATGTTTAAAATAACATTTGTTAAAAAACCAGAAGCTTTTTTTGTTAGGTATTTTAGGACAGGAGTTGTCGAAAGAAAAAAAAGGACATTATTCATGTATGCTACAACAGCGGCAAGAATCTTAATAGCTCAAAATTGGAAGATCGGAGAAGTACCATCAAAAGCACAATGGCAGCATAATATTGATATAACATAACATAACATAACATAACATAACATAACATAACATAATATTGTATATAAACAGCAGAATGTATCATCTGATGTATTAAACCAGAAATGGTAGTTGAGGGAAGTCAACAGGGAGGGGGGAAATTGGAAAATGTATGTTTAACAATAATATTGGATATTTGTTTTGAGAAAAGAAAATTAATAATTATTTTTTTAAAAAAAGGAAATAAAAAGAAAGGAACGCATTGTCTGCTAGCTAAGCAGCAAGAATATTCCAAAGAACAATTAGAACAATAGGAAAGCAGAATATGTTCCAACACAGAATTAACCATTTGAAAGACTTCATAATACAGTGGTGCCTCGCAAGACGAAAAGAATCCGTTCTGGGAGTCTCTTCGTCTAGCGGTTTTTTCGTCTTGCGAAGCAAGCCCATTGATGGGATTAGCGGATTAGCGCTATTAGCGCTATTAGCGGCTTTTAGCGGCTTTTAGCGGCTTATCAGCTTATCGGATAAGCAGATAAGCGGCTTAGCGACTTAGAAAAAGAGGGGGGAAAGGAAAAAAAAAACCCAGGAACTCGCAAGACATTTTCGTCTTGCGAAGCAAGCCCATAGCAGATTTGTTTTGCGAGGCACCTCCAAAACGGAAAACTCTTTCGTCTAGCGAGTTTTCCGTCTTGCGAGGCATTCATCTTGCGGGGCACCACTGTAATTATACCTTATAATGCTAATATCATAATGTGGTCCTTTAAGTGTAGCCATGGACACGCTATCTCTCTCATATAGTTATTAGTTCCACCAGTTCTTTGGGTCAAAAAATTCAATATGCTATCATTTGTTTTTGAGTGTCTTTTAACTCTGGCTCAGCGACTTGGCAAATGTATTACTGAGCTAGACAGAGGTTACTAAACTTTGTTTTGGTAATCCTAGGATTCAAGTAGCCCTCTCTAGTTGTTTGCTCCTGAAATGTTGGCTCCCAGATGCTGCTGCATCCATCATATTGCAGATCTAACTTCTCAGCTCTCCTGTCTTCCAACAGTGAAATTTGACAAAGAAATACAGGACAGACAGACAAAAATGTGGCAAAGTTCCAGCTCTCTGATGCCTTCATACAATGTGGAGTGGGGCCTAATGATTTCATGTGGTATGGTATGTGTGGATTGTCTTTTTAAATTATGGGAATCCTGAATAATGCATTAACACTATCTGTGGTCCTCAAGGCAGCATCAGTGCAGCAGCTTTCAGGCTATTGATTTAGCACTGTACAGTCATTCTAAACTGGAAATCCAGAATGCATACAGGGGAAAAACTCATTCTTTCAAAACACACAGCCAGTTATGTAGATGGCATGGGCAGTGCTGATACCTGGCTGTGTATGCAAGGCGATGGTTGGGAGAGCCAAGATGCTTATACAGGACTGGGCCAACCCATTACCATCACTCTTGTGTTTGTGAACTGCAGCTTTCAAAAGTGCAGAACCTCTGTGTGGATGGTTCTATGAAACCCAAGTAATGGATGCATGTCATTATTTAGCACCCATCTTGGGTTCTTAGCCTTGCCTTGCTCTGTGTTTGTGCTACCGAAATTGATTATAACAAACCGACTAGGTCATCTGCATGCAAATTCTTCCAAAAATTCAATTACTCCGTTGTTTGTAAAGGCAGGTATATGTGATGGTAGTTTGTAGATTTACAGGGAGAATATGCTCTCTCTTGCAAGGTACTTACTCTGTCCTTGGACTATAGCAGGGATGGGGAACCTCAGGCTCCGGGGCCAAATGTGATCCTTCAGGAATCTCCATACCCATGCTCCTCCCCAAACCTTCTTTCCATTCTGTAAGTCTTGCCCTTCTACCATTTCAGATTGTTTCTCCACCACCTCCCACTCTTTCATGCATCATGTTTTTAGATGCACCCCCTCCTTTTTAAAGAGCACAAAACGTAAAGTGACTGTGACAAATGTGACAGAAAAAAATTGTGTTCATAAAGCTGTGTTCATTTAAGAGCTGGGATTGGCTGCTGTTGTATTGAGCCCCCATGTTGTTGTTTTGTCGTGATGTGTGAATCCGAGCTTGGTTTGTCGCTCTGCCATGCAAGGTAACTGTTTAGCTTGAGCTTCATGGGGGCTGCTGCCCCCCAGCTCTTTTGACTATTCACACTGAGTTTCCCCACTGAATTCCCTGCCCGCCTTTTTAAACACCACTCTTGCAGGTGAGCAGCTAGTCACCTTCTCTATCTTTACAAGCTCTGCATCAAATCTTCCATATAAGTGCCTATAAAACCATTTTACTTTAGAGTCATACAGTGTGCGAACCTATGTCTCATCTTTTTATATCCCCAAGGTTAAAACACCTGGAATTTCCATTTTCCAGATGATTTCTTTTTATATGAATCTTCTACATTCTGCAAACTTAATGGCATTTTTTGTACATTCTGGACAATGATACTTTCCCCCAGTCACTGAATTCCTAATGTTTCTCAAAATCAATTGATTTTCAAAAACTTAATGTGGCATTAAGATGTTGACATATGTGTTTCAATCCTTTATTTTACACTTACTTGGGACTCAGCACTGTTCAATTCAGTGGGGCTTCTTTCTGAGTAGATATAAAGAGAATTGACTGTTAAAATGTAATTTGCAAATATTGGCAGTCTAAAATTCCCCCTGGCACATCAGCCAGCACATGAGATATGATTTGGTTGGCAATGATTCAATCCTTGTAGTTGGATCTAAGTACTCTCTCAGATTTCCAATTCGAACACTATCCAGTAAATCCCTAGGATTGAATAATGTGTCTTGAGTAATAAATGCTCATAGAGAAATAATGGAGCTTAGCTTTTGCTTGCATCTGCCCTACGTCATAAAAAGTTGATCCAGCAAGGAATTTGCCTCAGTGTTTATGCTTTGTTTTCTCTTAATGCATATTGCACTGACCTTGGATGCAAATCAGTTTGGATGCTGAACTCTTACTGATGTCGGTGGGATACAGGCAGCCTAAATGTATGTAGGATTGCAGCCACAGAAAGGGGCCTCTCTAGGACACATGGGCAAACCCTCTTCTCTAGAAAAATGGCTTGAATCCTAGGCTGCGGCATTCAAAAAAGTAGGACCTTCTTGGGGTATAAATGCTGTGAACCTCATTTGTGAACACCTTCATTTAGGTCTTCCTGCAGGCTATCAGTACTGGAAATTCCAAAGGTGGCATTTTGGCTTGCCTGCCCATCTGACGGGTGGAATAGGGAGTTCCAGGCTAGAGTAATGCATTACTCTAGGAACAGATGCCACCAGAGCTGCTTTAGGTTGGATGTAGGGCAAACAATGTCCTGTCCAACCACCTTGCCCTAGCACAGCAGACTGGGCCTTTGGATTGCAGACCTGCTCCCTAGAAAGCATGTATAGAATTGCAGCTTTTATGTACTGTTTTAAATCTGAATCAGACGCCCAGCTTTATTTTTAGATGATAGCAATTTAATTTTACATTACAGCTTCTTCCACAAGAGTTTTCTGTCCAAATACGTTTGGCCATCAACCAAAAGCAGTTGTTGAATCACCAGAAACTTTCCATCTAGCCACAAAACTTTTAACTTAGAGGAAGAAATACAATATTTCCATACCCAAGTAAAATAATTAAATATGATATGTCAACTGGGCTTGCTGAGGCGAATCCTGAACACTGACAAATAAGCCAGTTTAACAAGCATTGTAATCAGATTTTTATTCTTCATTTAAACTGGAGGCCCTCCAATAACATCTGCCTAAGTCCCACCAGCCCAAGATTTATGGGAGTTGTAGTCCAGCAATAGAGGGCCAGAGGTTCCCCATCACTGATTGCATTGGCATGGGCAAAGTTATGTAGAAGTTTCAAGCTTATATCAGTGGAACTGGCATCTATGGGCTAGTTTGGACAATGATCTGGCTAACTGCATGGAATCCCCGCCATCTCTCACCTCTTCCTTACTGAGTTTACCCACGCACAGGCATACTTGGGACCCCTTCTGTAATGTCCTTTTTACTGCGCATTCATGCTAACGTTTGCTCATGATGTTATCAGGATGGTCATGGACGATCCGACTTCCAATGCTATTTGCACCTGCAAGTTTTGGGTTGCATACTGCTTCATTTCCAATCAGTGCATATCCTGCAACTTCCTGCTGTTATTCCGTAACTTTTCATAACCCAGGTGTGTGTGTGTGTGTGTGTGTGTGCGCGCGCTGTTGTTTTTTGGTCCTGCTTTGCGATACGGCCCCTGTGGAAAGCATCAATGTTGTGGAATAATTAGCGAAGCATTGCAGAATAACTAATAAAGCCAATGGTCCCCACCCACCCAGTCAGCAATTTATCTGCATGAAATTCATTCTTCACAAGTGCTCCGTCCGCCCCGCCCCCAGCAGTCTTACCAACATTCTCTCGCATCCTTTTCTCCCTCCCGCCCGGCTACTTTCCTCATATTACAATTTCTCCACGTGGAGGCGCAGCGTAGATGGCAGAAAAGCCTCCTCCCTCTCCCCCCTCCCTCTAGGGCTCCTTATCTCCCAGGCTCCGCCTCCACCCACCTCCTGCGAAGTGCCTAGCAAGAAAATTTCTGCGTTAAGTTGCAGAGAGGCTCAGCAGGCTGTAGCTGTTGGATACACAAGGGGGCAAAAAGAAACACGTTATCTGGATCCCCCCCTTTTATTTTGGAAGAGAAGGCTCCCACTTGAACTGCTTTCTTTTTGCCTTTGTACACATAATACATCATTCTTATCTCAGCTTGGATCTATCAGCAAACTCTTTGCAGTCAGTCCGCAGCTGCATCTGCCGCTACTCTGTGCACTCTAAAGCAGGTAGGAGATCCCTTGCAGCCTGGGTTTTTTTGCAAGCTGTGAAATTAAAGGTGCCCTTTTTATTCATTTGCCTAATCAGTTAAATGTAAATACTGCAAACTGCATGCAAGGAGACTGTTGCCGAAGTAGAATAGCAAAGTTTGTTGCCTTTCCAGAAAAGGACAAACATCACATATTTTCCTCCTCTTGGCATCTTGTTTCCTTTCTTTCCTATGTTCTTTTTTCCCCTTGGATGGGGCATTTATTCCTAAGTAATTGCGCAAACGAGTGAAGCCTCTGCTGAATCTGTGTTTTCAGACCGGGAACTGTGTTTGGGTGGGTATGTCAGTGATAACGAGTTTCTTTGAACTCTCTGGTGCCGTGCTTTAGACTAACAAAACGCAGGAATGCAATAAGAGCGTTCGGTGAAAGCTGAAATTTGGGACACTTTGCGCTTCCACGGATTCTCTGCCATCAGCACCCCCCGCCCCCGGGCAAGCCTTGTTCTAGTCGCTGTGCATGTTTCCCAAGACCCTTGTGCTCAGTAAGGCTTTTGCTAAAGTAACCTTGGAGTCCTCAAATGTTGGACTACAACTCCCATCATCCCACGCTATACTATCCAGCGTTCGGGGATGATGGGACTCGTAGTGCAACAAAACGTCTGGAGCCCCAATGCCGAAGATTTCTGGGTAGAGAAGTCAATCTCTGCCCCCTGTTTCTTGTTTGTAAAGTGTAGGGACTTTACTCAGAAGGCTGTTACTGTGGACATTTAACTGCATAGCAGTCTACAGGGTGATGGGAGAAGTACCTTTCTGTATTTCAAGGCTGACATCTCGCCTATTATGTGGGGAAATCACTGACTCCTTAAATGTTCAGCTGTTTATCTCCTAACAGAGGGGATACTGAGGCAAAGTTGAAGGGTAGTGTCTAAATGGAGTTGACCAATATGTGTGAAACTTGCAAGGACTCTTGACAATGGTATTCATTTTCAAACAGTGAACACAGTGGGAACACAATGAGTTACTGAAATCCATATATCATGGTGTGTTCTTAATATGAATTTTGTTTGCCAAAATATGAAAAAGTTTCCCAGCTCATTGGCACAAGTGCCTGATTAACACAAACAAGCAGCCACATAGTGATTGCTTGAGGTTTGAAATCCAAACTTTATGGCAACTGATTCACGTGGGAAGCCATTTGTGTGTGGCAGCATGCCAGGTGGATGTTTGCCCTGTGGATTTTGCCATCCCACTGTAGACTGTCAAAAACGATTTGTGGTGGCAAATTATCAGATCTGTGCAATGTGTGGTTATATAGATTGCTGCACAAATCAGTGTCCATGTAGTTTGGATTTCAAGAGACCTCCTCTGCATTGCTGCGTTGCTTAAGTTGATGTATAGACTAACAGGCTTTTGGAAGACCAAAAAAAGACTTCTGTGTTCCTCTGATCCCAATGATGTAAGGAGAGTTGTTTTCATGCGGGGTAAGGAGACCAGTTTTGGCTGGATGGCTGATTTATTCCTGTATTCTAAACTAGAATGTAGTCCCTTGATACAGTGCTTGGGTTTTTCTCAGGTACTTTGCAAATTGTAAATATAGCAAGCTGGGAGTAGCTTTCTTCTGAAGATGATTATTGGTTGAGGGAGCAATGGTGGTGGAAGGATCACTGCAGATACAACATGGTAATGGGTGGGGTTTGTGCGGTTGTGGGTATTTTAAACAATTCCCATCCCCATACTATTATATTCAGTCCTATATAGTACTGAAGCATTAGACTAGGGGGAACTGCTTCTCTCTCCTCTTATCAAGGCAAAATGGTTCAGTATCTTCTAGAAGAGCCCTTCTGGATCAGACCAAAGGCCTATCTGGTCCAGCTTCTTGTTTCACACAGTGGCCAGCCAGATGCTTTGGGGATCTCAAAATCAGGACACGAGGGTAACTACCTGTTCCACCCTTATTCTCCATCCACTAGTATTCAGAGGCAAATTAACCTGCATTAATTTGTTGAAACCCGTTTTAAAGCCATCCAAATTGGCGGATCCACACCTGCTTCACGGATTGGTTGTAAGGGGAAATCGGGAGGGAGAGAACCATGTATGCTACAACTTTGAGCTGCTTAGAGAAGTGGTGGGATATAAGTATAATCAATCAATCTAATGAACAAACAGGGAGCTGCTCCACCCCCTGATAATTTTGGTTGTCCTTTTCTGTGCCCTTTCCAGTTCTTATGACGTCTACAGTTGGCAAGCAGATCTGTGCACAGTACTCCACGTGTGGGTGCGCCTTTGTCTCTCTCAGGGTGTCCCCAGACTATGCAGAAATCTCAAACCTTGTCTGTGGATGGTCACATGTTGAATCTTACGAGTTATGTGGGACGCGGGTGGCACTGTGGTCTAAACCACTGAGCCTCTTGGGCTTGCCAATCAGATGGTTGGCAGTTCGAATCCGTTCAACAGGGTGAGCTCCTGTTGTTCTTTCCCAGCTCCTGCCAACCTAGCAGTTCGAAAGCACACCAGCACGAGTAGATAAATAGGTACTGCTGCGGCAGGAAGTTAAGTGGTGTTTCCGTGTGCTCTGGCGCTCATCGTGGTCCTTCGTGCACCAGAAGCGGTTTAGTTATGCTGGTTACATGACCCGGAAAGCTGTCTGTGGACAAATGCTGGCTCCCTTGGCCTGAAAAGCGAGATGAGCACTGCACCCCATAGTTATCTTTGACTGGACTTAACCATCCAGGGTCCTTTACCTTTACCTTACGGGTTATGACTGGGTATCTACTTTACCTTTAAATACAGTGGTAATGATTATTATGCAGTTCAAAAATGCCAGCATTCATAAGGCTATACAAGTTTGGCACCACTGGTGACACCATTCCTCAGAAAAGAGCTGTAATGGCATGCTGGAGAAATGCACATGTATCACTTTATAAAGCCCCTATAGTTGTGCACAAATCACTTTCCCAGAACCGACATCAACACTGGGAGAGCTTTATAAAATGATATACATCAGGGCCTACTGGTGCTGCTCATCCCTGCCCCAGGCAGCTATGAACCATCATTTTAAATTTCCCCTGGTGCCCTACAGTCCCTAACGAAACATTACTCCAGTGCATTGTGAGAATCTTAAATGACAATTTGTAAACGTATGACAGGTAAGCTTGCAGCCAGGTTGGCATTAATGATGTAGGAAGGGGCCCATGGAAGGCATTGAGTTGGGGGCCCCTTCAAATCATGCGCCAGAGTTGTAGAGTGTTGTAGAGTGCTGGAGGTTGTACATCTGATGATTATCAGTGTGTTTGTGTTGGAACCAGGGAACTTGGCAAAGAGGAGGAACTGAAGCAGAGGATGAGCTGACATTCTCAACAGAGAGAAAGATCAAAGGAACATAGTGAAATTTGATGGACATGGAGAAAGCCAGGAACTCATTTCTTCTCTCCATCACATACACCAGTCTTTGCCAATCTGGTGCATTCCAGATGTTTTGGACTACACCTTTCATCAGCTCTTCCCAGCTTGGCCAGTTGTCAAGGATGATGGGAGTTGTAGCCTATCCCCTAGTGGTGCTTCCTGCCCTGACCGCTACCAGACTTTAAACCTAGTTCCTAGATCTCAAATATGGTTGTAAAAAATGACTGAAACTCAACCATGGAATGAAAAAAGGTCACTGGATAACTGTGCTGGGTCAACAGCATATTTCTGCACCATCTGGAAAATCCTGGCTCAGGAGTTCCCTTGGCTGCTTGCCTTGCAAAAGTATATGGAATCCTGGCAAACTTGTATGCAGTTTTGTAACATGTAGATTTGGACTGAGCAGGACACTTACGGCTATAGCGTTCAGAGGAAAATTGTATTGGCAGGGTCGGGGCAAGATGACCTAATGGGTTTGTTTCAAAATTGTGCCCTAAGATCTTGGATTGCCAGATGTTTAAAAACAAGAAAGTTACTGAAAGTTTTCATGCCTGTGTGTAAAACAACCTGCCAACCTAGCAGTTCAAAAGCACATCAAAGTGCAAATAGATAAATAGGTACCGCTCCGGCGGGAAGGTAAATGGCATTTCCGTGCACTGCTCTGGCTCAGTCATGCTGGCCACATGACCCGGAAGCTGTACGCTGGCTCCCTCGGCCAGTAAAGTGAGATGTGTGCCGCAACGCCAGAGTTGTTCGCGACTGGACCTAATGGTCAGGGGTCCCTTTACCTTTTTAAATATCTATGCTGGGCAAGTGATTCCTGCAATGCAGGGGGTTGGACTAGATGACTCTCATGGTCCCTTCCAACTCTACAATTCTATGCTTCTATGAAATAAAATTCATTGTGGGCTATGGATGAATATTTCATCCTGGAGTTTTTTGGCTTCTGGCGCAGAGTCACTCCCTTATTTACCTTAAAAACCCACACTTAGTCTGGCTATTCCAGGAATTTGAATCCTTGCTTAGATTTTAACACTCGCTGGATCCAGGGTTTAGGCATATAGCCAACATTTCCAAAAACTCTTAACAGTATAGAACAAGGTGGTCCAACTTTTTATACCACGTGGGCCGCAATAGTACTTCAACAGGAAACCTGGCGGTTGCCGCGTAGAGTTTTTAAAAAACTGGGCAATGGTGCGCTGCCCGCCCGTGACTCCCGAGCCTTGCCCAATCTCCTGCCCCCTTCCCCCTTTGTTTTGACAGATCACGGGAGGCTCGGGAGTCACGGGTGGGCGGCCGTTGCCCAAGAGGGGCGCAAGGCACGTGGTTTCTCTGCCAGGCAAGGTACAAAGCCCTTCTTTTGCACCCTGTGAAACAAAAATGCATAGTTTTTTTAAAAAACTGGGCAATGGCCACCCGCCCGCAACTCCTGAGCCTCCCCTGATCAGTCAAAACAAAGGGGGAAGGAGATCTGTACCGCCGGACATCCCCGGTTCCCCTTCGGCAGTGGCGGTGGCAGTCAGCAGCCCAGAGCCAGCCTGGTAGCGCAGTTGGCTCCGGCTGGCTTCAGGAGCTGCTCGCTGCCGTGGCGCCCGCCATTTTTCCTCTCCAGAAGTCCCCATATGATGTGTCTTGTGTGCAACACATCATATGGGGACTTCCGGAGAGGAAAAATGGCGGGCGCCACGGCAGCAGGCAGCGAGCAGCTCCTGAAGCCAGCCAGAGCCAACTGCGCTACCAGGCTGGCTCTGAGCTGCTGAGGCTGCCGCTGCCACGTTTTCTGGGGACAGATTTACAAATCTGGGGACTGTTCCCGGGAACTGGGGATGTCTGGTAACCCTAAGCAGAGTGGCTGGGGAAACCCAGCCAGATGGGCGGGCTATAAATAATAAATTATTATTATTATTATTATTATTATTATTATTATTATTATTATTGAGTTATTGGTTAATGCAAACTATGTTGTTATTAAATATTGGTTAATATAATATTGGTTAATACAAAGTAAGTTGTGGTTGTTTTTTTTTATTTGGAATTTCTGTGGGTGGCATCCAATGATGTTTGCCCTGTGATGGAAGGAATCTGCTAAAGGAACAAGGGAGAGAATGTGCTATATTGCTTCTAAATATTTTCTAGCTCTACAAATCTGGATCTCATAAATTGGTATATTTTCCTTTGCAGGGGCAGAAATAGCTGAAAGTGGGGGGAGTGGAAAATGGTGTGAAGGAAAAGGGTTAAGTAGTGACCCTCCACCACTTAAGCCACCTTCAAATCTGATGCACCAGCAGCTTCATTGTGTGCTTTTAAAAAAACCCCAAAGAAGGGGGAAAGGGAAATCATGGAACTGGGTGCAATGTTTAGCTTCACTTAGTGAATGTAGAAGACAAAAGAAGGAAAAGTAATAATATAAAGCTGGCCAGGCATGATTTTCTGTAGCTGCATGCAGAGTATCAAATTATAAAGCTTTAGTACTGTAAGATCAAAGACTTCATGAAAAGTCTTTTTTGTTTTGGACATCTTACAAAAAACATTCCAATTTGGTTCACAAATAGTATAAAAACTATTGCAGAGCAAATGATGCATAAGAATAGAGTTTCTTAATACCAGGCATCCACATATGTTGCTGTCATGTTGCACATATTTGGCAGTTGATGTTAACTTGTATTTCCTTTGCTCATGACTTCCTTAAAAAAACAGATTGGGAAGAACACCGGCTTCTTATAGGCCTATTATAACACATTTTCCAAGACAGAACAGCCATTTTTTGGTCATGAAATTCTAACTACATTTAACATTCATTTTCATATTCTTAATTGTGGCTCTCTACTACGCTTACTGCAAAGTGCACGATTAGTAACTATTTGTAAATAGCAATGATGTTTTAGGTTCCATGGAGATACACACAATGAGTTTTGCAATGTACTCTTACGGTTAGACTCAGATGCAAGTCACACTTTCTTGGGTGGGCTTTCTTCCAAGATTGCAACCTCAATCGCCTGCAGAAAGCAGCCACTGAACATAAATTTACCTTGTCTTAGCAAAGAAAATGTAGACATTGCCATTGATTATATAATCAGAAACTGTTTACCCATCAGTTTCTTGCTGATGTAGGGCACTTGATGGCAGTAGAAGTGACCATGTACTCATGTTGAAGTTGCTTTCCCCAGGAAGTTGGCCAAGCTCTGCAGCCTGTAGCTCTAAGGCAGCATCAGAAATACTACTACTACTACTACTAATTTCTTATTTATACCCCGCCCATCCGGCTGGGCTTCCCCAGCCACTCTGGGTGGCTTCCAAAAAAATATTAAAATACTGTTAATACATCAAACATTAAAAGCTTCCCTAAACAGGGCTGCCTTCAGATGTCTTCTAAAAGTCTGGTAGTTGTTGTTCTCTTTGACATCTGGTGGGAGGGCATTCCACAGGGAGGCCGCCACTACCGAGAAGGCCCTCTGTCTGGTTCCCTGTAACTTGGCTTCTCGCAGTGAGGGAACCGCCAGAAGGCTCTCGGTGCTGGACCTCAGTGTCCGGGTAGAATGATGGGGGTGGAGACGCTCCTTCAGATATACTGGACCAAGGCCGTTTAGGGCTTTAAAGGTCAGCACCAACACTTTGAATTGTGCTCGGAAACATACTGAGAGCCAATGTAGGTCTTTCAAGACCGGTGTTATGTGGTCTTGGCGGCTGCTCCCAGTCACCAGTCTAGCTGCCGTGTTCTGGATTAGTTGTAGTTTCCGGGTCACCTTCAAAGGTAGCCCCACGTAGCATGCACCACTTTGGCGAGGCAGTCCGCAGGCAGATAGGGTCTCAGCCTGCGTACCAGATGGAGCTAGTAAACAGCTGCCCTGGACACAGATTTGACCTGTGCCTCCATGGACAGCTGTTAGTCCAAAATGCCTCCCAGGCTGCGCACCTGGTCCTTCAGGAGCACTGTTACCCCATTCAGGACCAGAGAGTCCTCCACACCTGTCCGCCTCCTGTCCCCCCAAAACAGTACTTCTGTCTTGTCAGGATTCAACCTCAATCTGTTAGCCGCCATCCATCCTCCTGCAGTTGCAGAGAATCATGTCTAGAATCAGACCTGAAGGGAAGCGAAAAGCTGTTTGAAAGTTGCAAGATATTTTGGTCTTTTACATAAATTAGTACGAGTTGGCACCATAGATTCCAATGTAATATATGTGCCTCCTGTGGTTTTAATAAGGAACTCCACCCATTTTTTCCCTCTCTCAGCAGAATTTAAATGAGCTCCAAAAATGTGTATGAAAATGCACTTGCCACCTTTAGTAATGTCAGATTTCTGGCATGACAAGTGTTCTCTGTTCCTCTCAGGTTTCCAGAACATTGTGTATTCGCAGTCACAAAGCTGTCATTCTAACACTGTAGAAAGTTAGGGATTTACATGAGGAGTCACTGCATCTCTGTACGGGCCCAGAGCCATGGAGGGGCCAGCTGAGGGCACAGGCACTCCAAGTGGTCCACTAGCAGTCTTCACCTTCAGGACCCCAACTGTATGCATTGGGCCAGCAGGCAGGAACTGCTGCTGTGCCAGCCCCTTCCTTCCACAGACTGAGAGCATCCATCGAGGCTGTCCTTGGGAGTCCAGCTACTCAAAGGCAGCATGAAACCCATGGGGTAATGCAGCCACCTGGCTCTAATGTGCTGGCCACTCACCCATCTGCACTCCTCCCTTCTAGGTCTCTGGAGTAGTAGCTAGACTATCCTCACAGTTCCCATATGCAGGGCCACCCACTATCGGATTACCCAACATGCAATGTGATAAGCCTTACTTTGTTCTTGAGAGCCTCCGTCAGTGTGGCTGAAAGTAGTGATGGCCCCTTTTAGTGAGTAAGCCATTTGAAAGCACAGTGTTAACTATGTCTACTCAGACAGGGGGCTTCAAAGCCCTAAAGTGAAGCAGAGGGTCACTTGTCGGGGAGAAACAGTGACAGGTGTTTAATGCTTCTCTTATTTGTTGGTTGTTTCTTGCAGATTTACCCCTCAACAGCTTTTGAATCCCCCATACTAGCTATACTAGTATGCCAGGCTTCCTCAACCTTGGCCCTCCAGATGTTTTGTGACTACATTTCCCATCATCCCTGACCACTGGTCCTGCTAGCTAGGGATACTAGCCCAATGCTTATCAGATGGCAGGAATGTACTATATGGAAATGTGGCCTTAAATGTTCAGGATTGAGTTTTAGCCCCATATTCCTTTCTCCAGCTGTCTTTCTGCCATGAGCCTCCCATCTTAGTTCTGCTTCTCCTTTCTCTGTTCTGTGGCAACTTCCAACTTTCCAGTTTGTAGCAACTCCCTAAGGTTTGGGGTCTTTCCAATGCTGCTTATATTCCCTTTTCAACTGGAGCTTCCAGGGATTGAACTTGGTACCTTCGTCATGCAAAATATATACTCTGCCATTGAGCTTTGCTTCTTCCTCCTCAAAACAAAATGCATGCACTTCAATTTTAGTGTGCCTTTGTGTTGAATGCAGCCATTTCTAAGCATGCCTCTTGCTTAAAACAATGCCCACAGTGTGAAGAAAGTGTATTTTCAGCTCTCTTGAATCTGTGCCCATTCCCTCTCAATGATTAGCATGTTTTATTTTTGTTAGATTAATTTATGAAGGGAGAGCACTGTGGAATCTCATGTTCCTTGACAGAGAGAAAAATAACATCTATGTTCTCTTTTTCATAGGCTGTATGAAATCATGGTTTCCAGGGAAAACCATTGACTTAACTGGTTGTTAACAGCCAACATCCTGAGCTTGCAATTCTGGCATGTTACGCAATTCATTCACCCTACAGCGTACATGTTTTTCAGTAAATCAAGCATATCAAGTCAAGGATCTCCTATGTTGTGGTTAAGACTTGCCCCCCCCCCCCCCGGCCCCCTTTCCACCCTCTTAATGACTAATGACTAATTTCATTCTAGCACAATGTAATCTTAAAATGGGTCGACTTTAGCAGGCAGGATCACTTGCCAGAACAAACTGCGTTTAGCAGGACAGACCTTCTGTGTTGCTTCAAACACTAGTGCACAACAAGAACTTCCTCTGTTGTAGACAAGGAGTCTGTGGGTTCAGTGGCCTTGATTGAATCATATAAAAAATAAGCTCTGTCTCTCCAAGAGTTGTTTTTTAAAAAAAACACATTTCAATGAATGGTTCCACCAATCCAAAACATTACTACCAACTCATCCATACACTTTGTCTTATGCAATGGAATGCAGCTATCCCTGAAGATGTATGCAAAACTATGACTTATCAGTATTCCTGTATCAAACCTGAAGCAACACTATGACTATGGTACTAATTGAAGGGGTGCTGGTATGAGTTCTGTTGTTCCAGTATTTGTTCACTCCTTGCTATTTTGATTTCTTGTCTTTTCTATTTGCACATCACCATAAATAGATGTATCCCTATGTGCTGGGTGCCAAAATTAGACAGTGCTCTGTGTATGTGTGTGTGTGTGTGTTCCTTATGCTGTAAATATGCATGGGTTTTTATTGTCCAATGAGGTAAACGAAGTTGTTGGCATCAGTCTATCTCAAGAGGCAATGGAGTGTGCCCCTTAGAGTGAAGTCAAACCGCTAGAGAATCACAGCGCCTGCTGTGGCTGCAGAGACCCGTAACTTGTAACTGCTGCTTCCCATGTTGTTTTTGCTGTATTAGCAGCACCAAAGTGAGCTCTCTGTGGTGCAAGTCTGGGCATTGTGTATGAAGGTCCTAGGCGGTATATCAGAAATAAGATAATTCTAGATCTGTTTCCTCCTTTCATTTTCTATTGCAGTCATTTTTAGGTTATTGTGTTTAAGCCAAATGTAATGGCCTGATTGTGAGAGCTGTTCATGTCACAGTGCAACATGAGAAAAGTGTTAAGTTTCTCTTGGGACACAGGCTAATCTAAATGACCTTTAACATGTTTTTGGAAGACTGGAAAAAGGTTGAGATCATGCTACTTCGGCATTAAACTTGGGAAGATTATTTAGCAAAAGGACACTAAGGAACTGAAGTACAATACTTTTTAAAGCTCCCGTGAACCATTTGGATACAAAAGGCTCAAGCTGGAAGGAGTGAATTAGACATCATGTGGAAGCCAAGAAGAGACTCTGGTTTTACTACATGTTTCATGGATGTGGGCTCTTTTGAGTTCCATTATTCATAACTGGGGGGAGTTTTCTGTGGTTTCTGTTTTGTTTCAGGGGCGTTTGTGTGTTAGGGCAGATTTACCCTCAATGTTTTTGCAAGCTCCACATAGCTTTCTTCTGCTGATACTTAGATGTGCACCAGGATTTGGGAGGAGGGTGATTGGATGTCCTATTCTTGGAGGAACTTCTTGCTGTAATGTTTATGCTTCTGTCAGAACAATTTAGTATAGTGATGGTGCTGAAATTTTAATCAGCTGGTTCAGTCTATGGATTTATCCAGGTCATAATGCTCAAGTGTTTTGCAAATTGACTGGCATTCCTCCAGAAGTTTTATCCAGTTTGGAATGTTACATGAGAGCCATGCATGCACAGATAGCATTCAGAAGAGCAAGTGCCCCAAAGATAGAAGTTATTTAATATTAAGCCTTTTTCTTGATGACCCTCTTGGGTGGAATTCCATGACCTGACAAAGCAGTCTTTAGTTTGGTGAGTATCTTCTTTAGTGTATTATCTTGATTGCTTCTTGCTACAAATGTTTGATGTGGTCCCTTCCTATCCAGATCTAAAACTCCTTCTTTTTACTTAAGGGTGTTTGTAGGGGGAGGGGAGTTGAATTTACAGATGGCTCCCCATGATGGCAGGTGAAACTAAACTATAATTTCTCAGGAACAGTACAATAACTTAGATGCATGCAGCACCATGAATGTATGTGCTAACATTGTACCTGGGACTCTTGAGAGCAAAAACTCAAAAACATATGAGCAGAGAAAGCTCATAAAATACAAAGTTAATACAGAATTGTTTTGCGGGGAATTTGCCTATCACTTATTTAGGACTGAATCAGTTTGTTTTAAATTATCAATGTATAGCTTCTGTGGTAGATTCTTTCAACTACAGTGGTATCTCGGGTTACATACGCTTCAGGTTACAGACTCCGCTAACCCAGAAATAGTACCTCGGGTTAAGAACATTGCTTCAGGATGAGAACAGAAATCGCGTGGCGGCAGCACAGCAGGCACCATTAGCTAAAGTGGTACCTCAGGTTAAGAACAGTTTCAGGTTAAGAGCGGACCTCCGTAACGAATTAAGTTCTTAACCCGAGGTACTACTGTAGTGGTATCAGTAGGTAGCCAAGTTTGACTGGTTGTCTGATAACCTAACTTTAGAAAGAACTACCTTTAGAAAGAACTACCTGTACAGTGCTACCTCTGGTTACGTACTTAATTCGTTCCGGAGGTCCTTTCTTAACCTGAAACTGTTCTTAACCTGAAGCACCACTTTAGCTAATGGGGCCTCCTGCTGCTGCTGCTGCGCTGCTGCCGCATGATTTCTGTTCTCATCCTGAACAAAGTTCTTAAAACGAGGTACCATTTCTGGGTTAGTGGAGTCTGTAACCTGAAGCGTATATAACTCGAGGTCCCACTGTATTGTCTTCTGGGAGATGCTTCATCTAGAACGCTCATTTTTAAATAGGCTTCTCGTGTGAGGGATGTCTTAGAATCATAGGGCAAAGCATGATGGCTGTAAGAACAAATGCAAGAGCAGATTTCCTCAACAGTCCTCTCTGTACTGTCACCCCCTTTTTAACTATCAGCAAAACTGTGTTCTGATAATCACAATGCTGTTGTCATAGGTTTCACTGAGTTAGGCTGCTGTGCTGCTGTAGCCCTTAGTGAATCCCATTCCACACTTACAGTGCGATCATTAGCAAGTTCACTCGGAACAGTCCTATTGAACTCAACGTATTAACTGTGCTTCAGATTGCAACCTTAGATGGTCTAAACCAGCTTCCCACAAACTGGTGCTGACCATGCATTATGGATTGCAAATCTCCTCAGCCACAGCCAGCATGGCCAATACTCAAGGATGATGGTTGTTGCAGTTGGGAACATTTAGAAGAAAGCAAAGGAAGAGTGGTCTAAACGACTCCTTAATTTAGAAGTATATAAATTTTGGTATCATAACATAGGCCCTGGGGTAGGTGGCATTTTAACTCCTCATTCTGTGCTGTTTTTCCTTTGTAACCCACATACCTGTAGTGCTGTTTTCCCCAACAGAGAAAAATAATATAAATACCCCCAGCAAGCCTGTCTTCTTCCTCAGTCAGTCTGCTAATAGCAGCTTATAGGGTTGAGAGTGAACTCAGATATGGGTTTGGGTCAGATTGAATGGTATCCCTCGTCCACTCAAAACTGCAGCAGTCCTGTTAGCTGCTTTAAAGTAAAGAAACAAAATGCTGATCAAGTTTCTCTGGCCTCATGTTCTAAAATGTTACAGGTATAATTTCTTTAGAGTTCTCTCTTGTTACATAAATAGCAGGAACTTGGTTTGAGTGGAAATAAACATTGTATGTAGGTTTTGTTACTATTCCCTTTCATATAGTCCCAAGTCAGCAGTGAAATATCCAAAAGTTGTTCATAGAGAGAAGTTTTTTAAAAAGTTGGACCATGATGGATTTGATATAATTGTATACAAATGTAACACTACTAGTGAAAATCCAAAATAAATATATGTTGGCTTGTTATCAGAGACTATGTGCAGGATTGGAGCCTAAATGTGCAAATTAAACAAACAACAAAATGCAGTCCCCTTTGCACGCCCAAACTGGCTAAGGCTATAATCCTGCATGGAGTTTAGGCTGCTTAAATCTCATTAAAGTCTGGGAGTAAAACAATGCAAGTTTGTGTGGAATTGCACGCTAAGGCCTGGTTCAAATAACAATGACCATGGCTTATTGAGAATCTTGCTCTAAGTCCCAGCACTCTTTTATTCACACATTAGCTTTAGCACTTCTATTTTCCTTTGTTTAAATTACCGTACTTTTGAACAACAACAACAAAAATGGGTTAAGGATGCTTAGTGGTGCTGTGGCGGGAGCAGGATGAAGGGCCTGATTCTTGCTCCAGCTCCAGTTTGGCACAGCAATTGGGACTGGAAAGAGCCTGATGTTGGCTGTCTGTAGCTGTGGGACCACCTTGAGATCCTGCAGATCCCAGGACAGTGAAGCCCCACCCTCCCCCTTGGAGCGCCCATTCTGACTAGTGGGCCTCCTATTCACTTTCAAGTTTGATGGCTGGCTGGAAGCCAGTTTGACTGGCAGAGCTGAGCAGGGTGTAAGGGCTGGATTGCTTTGCAAACATTGACTTACAAACTAGGTTATGGAATCAGCACAAGACTGAGATTAAATCACACTTTCCCAGTTTGGACATAACAGGAAACTTTAAATAAACCATACCACAAGTGCCAAAGCCTGTACATCCAGGGATCTTAGTTGGCCCCAAATATGCAAGTTGAACCCCTACACCCCCCCCCAATTTGGCACATTTTATTTATTTAGAATGTTATTGTTCTGTATAATACCTGTTAAATTCACAGAGGTGTACAGAAACATGAGACTCATGCACACAACATGTTAAAACCAACAAATAAGCATAACAAAATATATGCATGACAAAAACAACAACCCAGGCAGCTAAAAGCAGAATCAAATATAGTTCCCAAAATCATATTCCCAATCTGTAATGCTCGCACAAATAGGAAAAGCTTCACCTGAAAATCTTGTAATGCTGGTGCTAGCCGTGCCACTCTGGGGTGCCAGCACAGAAAAGGCCCCCTCATTTGTAGGGGCATAGTGTACCTCCATTAAAGAGGAGAGTTGGAGCAGAGCCTTAACCATTGTTTACTGTATTTGCACCTTCTGTTTTCCTTCCCTGTGCTCTTTAAAACTTTATTTTGCTCACTGTTCTAATAAAACCCTGGCAACAGTTGTACTGGTGTTTGTGAAGCCAAGGGCTTGTTGAAGTTGAGGTTTTCATCTGCTGGATGGCTGTATGTATGTTAATGGCAAATCAATGGCATTCTTTTCATTTTACTTCCCTGGCTGCTCTTTGCAAAGGAAAAAGCTATTGGTTTCCATAGACTTGCAGCCCCGAGGATGCTTGCAAATGCCAGACTAGAGCTTGGCATCCTTGAAGCAGGTTCTCAGGTTTTATGCATCTCTTTGAGAAGTTTCATAACAGGTCACCATCTGTATGGACTGTTATGCCTTTCTGGAAAACCCAGTAGGAATTCATCATAGAGCAGTGTTTCTATAATAAACATTTTAAGGAGGAGGAGGAGCCATAAGCATGCTGCTCCTTGCAAGCAGTTTTCTCCCCTCTTCCATGCAGCTTGAGTGTGCTATCTGGGTATACTTTGGGACTTTGCCAGGGCTGAAGACTCAGTGGGGGAGCACTACCACAATACTCTAGTAGACTGAACCCACTGTAGTGAATTTCTGACTCTTATATCCCCAGTGGCAGAGAAGCCATGTGGGCCAGAGATGATGAACCTGTGGGCCTCCAGAGGTTGTTGAGTTGCACCTCCCATCACACCTGACCATTGGCCATGCTGGCTAGAGCAGATGAGTGTTAGTGACCAAAAACATCTGGAGGGGCCACAGCTGCCCCACCCCTGATGTACACTTTAGTTTCTTACATAAGTGCTGGTTTTGACCCATAAAGCCTTAAATGGCTCAGTACTATAATGCTTGAAGGACTGCCTCTCCCCAGGTAAGCCATCCCAGACCCCTGTTTCTGAGATCCTTCATGTGCCTCCTTCACATGAAGTCTGGAGGTTGGCAACACAAGAATGGGCCTTCTCTATAGTGGCTCCCCATTTGTTGAATGCTCTCTCCAAACTCTTCAATACAGACTTTTAGGCACCAGGCTAAAATGTTCCTCTTCAACCAGGCTTTTGGCTGGTTAATATTCTACATCCTTTTAAATGTGCCTGTGGGAGGGGTGTGTGTTATTGTTTTGCTGTTTAGTTTTACTTATTTACTTGTTTTTATCCAACATTTTATTCAGTGAACTGTCCTGAGATCTTATGATGAATGGCTGTATATAAATCTAATAAATAAGTAAAATAAATAATTTTGAACTCTCAGAAATGTATTATACATTTTAGCGCTATTCATTTCGCTCAGCACCATTAAAGTCATGAAATGCACACAGTAGGACTAGTTAGGCTAGACCCTATAGAAAGCCAAAACAGTTCAGATATGTTGCATCTGTATTTTAATGCAATTGTAATAAAGTAACTTTTCTTTTCCCAGTTTATTTTAGGATTTGAAGTGCTGGAAATACTGTATACATGGCAAAGAACATAAAGTTTCTTCAGGCATTTTTAATGTTGTTGCTGCGCGATTACATATCGGCTGAAGATGGTGATGTAAGATCAAGTAAGAATCAACTTTATTTGCTAACCATGGCTGTTTAATAAATTGTGGAGGCTTCTCTAATAGTCCCTATTTTCTCTCCTCCATGAGGTTCCTTCTTTCCTTAAAATAATGTGTAAGCAATTTTTCATTGTAATATTTCATTTAAAATATTTTAATGCGCTTGGTAATATCTTTGGAGATAGATTTGCATACCTTATAAATGTACTTTTAGGGACTATATTAAGGTACCATATTTAAGCTACATAGCATGACAGTTCAAAAGTGACAAGTTCAGACTTCTCCCACAGGAAGGTAATGTTGGTTTTGTACAGCTTGGATCAGAGATCTTTACAAACCTAAGGTCCATCTGCATTATATATTTAAAGCAGTATCATACTACTTAAAACAGTTGTGGCTTCCCTGAAAGAATCATGAGAAGTTTAGTGTGCTATTCCTTTCACAGAGCTACAATTCGCAGAGTTCCCAGGGAATAGGGAGTTTATTGTTAAACCACTCTGGAAGTTGTAGCTCTTGTGTGGGCAATATGATTCTTTGCCGGGGGTGGGGGGAGTGGACCAAGACTGTTCAGAGTGGCTTGATGCAGCTTTAAATGTATAGTGCAAATAAGTCCTTACATCAATTCCCCAGCTTCCCTGGCCACAGAACAATATTACAGTCTTTCCCTGGGTCTGCGGTACTGTTGTATCTTGGTCCTTTTTACACTTGGTCTAGTTTAGACATCATCTTCCCTGTTCAACAGACCACAGTCTGTTGGACTGGGAATGCACAATGTGCCTATGTAATTTCCCTCCCTCCTCTCCTGTCCACATTCCCTCATATACCTGGATAAATCAAGCCTTCCTGTTTGTTTGTTTGTTTGTTTGTTTGTTTTAAAACTACAGTTTGCAGTAACATCTGATCCAGGAAATTGCTTTGTGTGCTCCAAACAAGCCACATTGCAATTCATGTTGGAAAGCCTGGTTTGTGGAGAGTATTTACACCACAGTTTCCTAGTCTGGACATCATGGCAAACTGAATTGTAACAACCCGGGAAAGCTTATGGGTGTGTGACGAGAGGAGGAAAGGGGAGAGAGTATTTGGGCGCATGGCAGGACTATGGCACCTGAATCAAGTCTTTATGTTGTTTTATGTGTAACTTAACCTTTTATTTAAAAGGAGAGTACACCTAAAATGTAAAGAGCAAGTGCACCAAGCAGGTGTTCTAAAATATATGTATCACAAATGGAACCTGCAACAAAATGTTACAGTGCTCAGTGATTCTGTTTTGTGTTCTGGCCAATCAGCTGTTCCCCGTTCCACAATGATCTATTCTTTCCCCTGTAAGTTATTTTCTGCCTTACATGTCACTTGGCAGTCTGTGGCAAATGAGCATGCCCAGTGTTCATTGGACTGTTTTGGGTCCCCCGCTTTTGTTTTCCATCCTAAATAATTTTTTGTATTTCTTCAAATCCTCCAAGCATGCTTATACGTCCTTCTTGTGTTTAGGTAGCACTGTTTTGAAGTCTGGAATTGACCTTGGATGGCCTTGGCGTGTGTGCTTTGTGACAGAGCTAAAGTTTTTTTTTTCCCTGAGCAATATGCAGCCCATTTTTATTTTTATTTTAGCTACCCTCAATGAACTCTAAATCATCTCAGAGAAAATTATATTGAATGATGCTGTGGGGAAGCGATGTGGCAGGCTTGAGGTTATTTAACAGTACATTGAACCTAAGCTGTACTCTGTTTTATACATTATAACTGGTTGAAGCCAGCAATAAAAATTGTGGAATTCAGGTTCACTAGTAAGTTATCTCCAGGGATAGGTCTGTATTTCCCTGTAGGATTATTTTTCTTTACAGTAGGATTTTTTTATTTACAGTCGATCAAAAGATTTAAACCTCAGACAAATAAATGGTTGATTGATTTAAAAAGATCTATAGACCACCCTTTAATGTAAATATTTCCAAAGTAGCTTACAAGTTTTTTAAAAAATAAGATGTATATAACCAAAGTAAAATAAAAGAATAGTAGATAAAAACATTGCAAAAATGAAGAAGCCTGGAATTTTTTTTAGAGTGTTTGCTTAGCACCAATGAGATGTCAGAATGGGTACTATGCAAGTCTCCCTGTGGAGAACATTCACAAGCAAGATGCTACCACTAATTAAGCCCCTCCCCCCGTCACTTGCTTCACCTCATACACAATATGTACCTGAAGAAGGGCGTCCAAATATGACTTTTAGTGCAGGGAGTAGCAAAATCCAGGTACTTTGGACTACATATTCCATTCACTTCAGTCAACATGGTCAATGATCAGTGTTGATAGGAGTTGTAGTCCACTCTGCCGCACATTGGCTGCTGTCCAGCAGCTCTTGAGACACCCTCAACATCTAGATGGGAAATGCCTTTGCATGTGAAGAGTGTTTTCCATGGACAGAAGAAAAGCAAGAAAACCCACATAGGTACCAGGCTCTGGATCACTGGCCATGTCTTTTGACTTAATTCAGGTGAAGCAATCAACTAAGTATCTCATGCCAAGTGTTCAGTGTAGTGGATACAATAACAAATGGAGGCACAGGAAAGATATTTTTAGGATGTGTGTTAATCTGGTGCACTTTTGAATTTAGTTAAATACTGTGTGGTTAGACACAACCAGATGTGGTTAGGTGTGACCATTTACGGATGATGTCTGAGAGCTTGTGGTTTCTCTCCAGTGCATTATGATAACCACAAACCACTCTGCAGAGTTTTGAATGGTTAAAGCACTCCCTATGTACGATGGAAAAGCAATGCGTATTGCTGTATTTTGTCCTCACTCAAATGACTACCACATCTGTTTGAAAGTTCTCGTTTCTCGATGTAATAGCCCAGCAATATATACCACTTCAGAAAATTGTAAATGTATCTGACAAATTATATAAAGGCAAAGGTAAAGGGACCCCTGACCATTAGGTCCAGTCGTGACCGACTCTGGGGTTGCGGCGCTCATTATATACCAACAATTAAAAAGCAACGAAAGTCTAGTAAAACACGCACACACAAAATCCAACCACCTGAGGCATGGCTTGCAAGCAGAAAATACCTATCGACACAGAAACTTGCAAGTGGCTCTATCATGCGTTTTAGGCTACTGTTTCTTTCCTATTCCCTGCCAAAATCATTGCAAAAAAAATTTGGAGCCCAAATCCATTGGAAAATCACTAGATGGAAATGGGAAAATATTAGCTCAATGCACATCTTTCGGAAAAGCTCATAATACTCAGGTGATGAGACCACAAACAGGAATCACAGGCTCCAGCTCAAAGAAAGCTGGTTTTCCTTAAATCCGGCTGAACCTTTTGTAGTCATGAAATATGTAAGACCTGTTAATTTTGGTGAGAAATGCAGCACAATCCTGTGCATGTTAACTGCACTGGGGCTGTGGGGGAGGCACTTGTTGCCTCTGCCCAGGGTTGTCCACACCACAGCTGCCTCAAGGGCATCTTCTGGGGCTTTAGGAGTGGAGTGCATGTATTCCCTGCCATTTCTGCCCTTTAGCCATGAGCATCTCGTAGGGTGCTTTCAGTGAACTGTCCTTTGGCATCTTCCTGTGTGCGCCATTCTTTAGGGGTGTGCGGCTGGTGGCAGCAGCCTGTGCGGATGTTTGATTGTCAGTGGTGCGATGTTGGGTACAGGGTGTGCTTCACATGTGTTTGTCTATCTGGTTGTGCTGTGTTGCGCTGTTCCTGCTTGTGACAGTGCAGTTGGTGCGGTGAGTGTGCCTTCTGGTGCGTGGCATGCAGTGCCTGCTGTCTGGCTGCTGTGGTGAGTGTCTATAGGGATGCCACGTGCACTCTGTCCCCTGTTTATCTGCATGCCTACACTTGCACTTTGAGCTGCTTCCCATGAGCTGTCTTTGAGCATTATTGCAGTCCGTATGCACCTGTTAAGGGCACTTGTGGACTATCCTCTGTGCACCAAAAGGTGGCTGCAGTTCCCATAGTAATGCTGGCTGAGCTGGCTCTGTGTTTTGCTGGCTCCTTTTCTCTCTGCTGGGCTGGAGCCAGCTCATCTGGTGTTTAACCCTCCCTGGGGCTCCTGAACAGAGTTTGGATCTAGCATACTTCACCAGTTTATTTTAAGACAATGTATTGTATGACAGCTCCCCCTATTTAGGATTTCTCTGCCAATTAGTTGAATTCAGTACCCACTGAAATCAGTGGCGCTTAAGTCATGAATAACTTTCCCCCATTGATTTAAGTGGAACCTAACTTCAATTAACTTTGTTTTGATCCCACCCGATCATGGCATAAATGTTTGCAAAAATATCATGCCCTTGACCCTTGAAGATAGAACACTGAGATTACATTCAATACAGATTACTGAATTTGATTTCTGTTTTTCTCTCTCTCTCCTCTCTCTCCATTTTTAAGGTTGTCGAACTGCCCCAACAGATCTAGTGTTCATATTGGATGGCTCCTGGAGTGTTGGCCCAGAAAACTTTGAAATAGTCAAAAGGTGGCTTGTCAATATTACAAGTAACTTTGACATTGGACCAAAGTTCATTCAAGTTGGAGTAGTTCAGTACAGTGATTATCCTGTGCTTGAAATCCCACTTGGGTCTCATGATTCAAATGAAAACCTCGTCAGAGGAATGGAATACATACAGTACTTGGGTGGAAATACAAGAACAGGGAAAGCCATTCAGTTTGCAATCGATCACCTATTTGCCAAATCCGCAAGGTTCCTTACAAAAATCGCAGTGGTACTTACCGACGGAAAGTCACAAGATGACGTCAAAGAAGTGGCAGCTGAAGCAAGAAAAAACAAGATCACTCTGTTTGCCATTGGAGTTGGGTCAGAAACCGAAGAGGATGAACTAAGAGCCATTGCCAACAAGCCCTCGTCAACATATGTGTTCTATGTTGAAGATTATATTGCAATATCCAGAATAAGAGAAGTCATAAAGCAGAAACTCTGTGAAGGTAAATATTAATGCCTTTCTGCAGAGTCATTAACCTCTTTTTCCTTTAAGGAGTATGATGTGCTGTAGTGGTATGCTGGCCTCACTTATTTTAGTACTTGGTTGTATAGGAAGCTGCCATACCATCAGGCAGGCCATCACTCCCTCTAGCTCAGGGGTGGGGCATCTCTGGCCCTTGGGTGTAATTAGGCCACCAGACCTCCCCATTTGACTCAGGAGGCCATTTTAGCCAAGCCACGCCCACCAGTTGTATAGCTGTTGTCAGGTAAAGATGCAACTGGGCTGAAAGGAGGTTTGAAGACACTATCAGCGGCTTGGTGGCATCTATAGAGCCCTTTGCCCATGTGTGAGCAAAACGGAGTCACCTGACATCATTGTGACATCATGTGATTGATGGGGTGGGGGTGATATACTGACCCAACAGCTGGATCCAGTTCCCTACCCCTACTTTCTCTCCACTGACTGCCAGGAGCTTTCCAGGGTTTCAGAAATGGGCCTTTTCTAGGATTTACGTATATCCTTCCACTCAGTGGGAGATGTATGGATGTGCCTGCTGCCCCATTATGTGTACAGGATTATTGATGGTCTGTGAGCTGTCTGTTAAAAATCAGAACCCTGATAGTCTTAGAGAAGAAGTTGATGTATGGATCTGAATTTTTTTGTTTTATTCTGACAAAGGGCAGATATAATTTAATTAATGCCACTCAGTAGATCTGAACAAGGAACCATTGTGTACGGCAGAAGGACACACAGGTTTGGTATGAAAGAGAAACGCGTTTGCATGAGAAGTGAGGAAATGAAGCTCACTGCCAAGGCAGACTTTGTAATCATCGCATCTGGCAATTCCCAAGTCTAGACTAGTGGTTAAGAATATGAAACTTTTGCTGGCTGACCTTCCCCAAGACTTTGCAGCAGCCTTAGCGGTGAACTGATGACTATGGGGGGTTATTGGGTTGTTGTTTTTATATTGACTATATTTGTTGTGGTTTTATATTTTGATATTGTTCTGTGAACCGCCCTGAGACCTCCAGGTTATAGGGCAGTATATAAATTCAATAAATAATAATACTAAATAAATAATATGGCTCGGCTATTGTGAGTGGAGAGGCCCAAGAGGGACTGGTTACTTGATTGAGTGTGGAAACCACTGGTATGGTCAGAAACTATCGTCTTCGGTTGGTTCAGAAACTGAAAAGGCTGAGATGGGAGCAAGCTCTCATCAACACAACACAATGTTCCTCATCCTAAGCAGAATCTACCTGTGCTTGTGGTAGGGTTCTGCGCCTACTTACCATGTCATGGTTTTGTTTTTGTCTAGCTTTCCATGCTTTTGTAGTATCATGCATCAGCAGAAAGCAACTGCAGGGCTTGACCTTTTCTGACCCTGCCAGTGGAATGACTGAATCAGGGATGAGGAACCTGTGCCTCTCCTGATGTTGTTGGACCACAGCTCCTATCATTCCTGACTATTGGCCATGCAGGCTGGGGCTGATGAGAGTTGGAGTCCAACAACACCCAGAGGCTCCTGGGTTTCCCATCCAGTTGTGTTACTGAAAAATCTTTCTCTCCCTCCACGTACTCTCTCTTTGCAGGGAGGTTTTGTGTAGCTACTCTACCACAAAGTTGTTTTTGCAATGTTCCTCAGAACCTTTCACGCCCACCCCTCTTGCTCTTTCCCTATGCTTCAAAAGTTGCTGGCAAAGGATACTTGGGGCTGTTTCAGAGACATTCAAAATATTCCCCACATAATGTGCTGCAGCTATCCCTGGCAATGCAGAGACTGCCCTCTGGGATTTTAAAATAAACTATATGACATAGCTGTGTTTCAGGCTTGATGCGAGATGAAATTTAAGCCCTAGCACTTGAAGTCTGCTCTCTTTCTATGTTTTGAAAAGAGAAGATCCTGGGTAGGATCCAAAGGTTCTGTTCCATTCATGGAAAGAGTCTTCTGTGACTTGAAAGTCGCCTTCGGATCCAGACCCCTGACGTGTAATGTACCCACTGCAATGCATAAGATTTCAGAAGGTTCTCTGAATATTTATTATAATTTTAGAAAATCCTTTAAACAAGTCAGAAACAGTACTGTTCCTAAAGGTGCTGGCACTTTGCACACTTAACAGAAATAAATCCATGACTGCAATTCTCTCCAGCATTGCCAAAAAGGAACAAGATGAGTCAAGGCAGCTGTTCATCCATGATGGATGCACCGTTTGTTTGTTCTTTTAAGGGTAAACTGAGCCCTTTAAAAGGGTGAAATGAGCCATAGAGAGGGCCCAGCTTGGACTGGGCTGTGGTGGAAAGGGATTAACCTAGTGGTAGTGAAGTGATGCTCTTCAGATGTAGTCCAACTACACTATAACTCCCAGCTCCAGCTAGCATGGCCAATGGAGAGGACATACCATTAACTACCCCTGGGTTAACCCTTTTCCTTAGCTGCTGTTTTCTGATCAGAATCACTCTCCCAGAACTGCTGTTTGCCTCGTGGGGCAAAATAGAAATGTACCGTGTGGCTTCCTGCCCCAGCTCTGATCTGAATTCCACTTTCTAGCTACACTTATCGTAGGAGCATACGCTACAGGAGATCTGATCAAGGCCCTCCTCACCTTTGTATCTAATTGTGCCTCAGTGTCAACTCTTTAGGTCAGGACTTCTTCTCCCACATATTTCTTGCTTCTTCCACTCTTTAAAGAACCATGAATATGGATGGTGCAATCATTTGTTGTTTTACGATGATGATGATGATAATTATAAAGATAATGGTAATAATAACAATTTTATAATATTTCTTTTATTTATGGGTCAGGAACTAACAACCATCAAATCCATGTATGCCTTCTGTTAACCCCCATTTGACTTGCTACTTCCATTGTAATTGAATGTAGAAACTGGATTTGTTTTAAAGGACTTAGTAAGATGAAAATAAAATATCAAGATTCTTAAGTAATAGCAGAACTACATTCTAAACCTTGCAGCTGTGTTCTGATGTCACAGATGTTTAAAAAATGGTTTGCGGTGTACAAACTGTACTGGTGTCTTTATTAATCAGATACCTTATGATTATTTGTTCTTTCTGTTTTAAGTAGATGTTTGCTTTCATGTATAATTGTAAGCATTCCATTGTCATTGCCTAATACGTTACTGTACAATGACATATTTGGGAACAGATTATCTGCCCTTAAATTCATGTCTCTCAACAGGAATTGAGATTAAAAACCCATTTCCCCAACCAGTTCCAGAGATATGATTGTTGGTCTTGCTGACTGCTGAACTGTCATTACCATGATGAGAAGGAGTTTGATAATGGCATATATGCAGAAATTTAGGGTGGGGGGCTGGGTTTAGTATTTCCTGGCAGGGGCATGACAAAACTCAGTTCTGAATTCATTCCCAGTTCTCATGTGATTGCTTGCACTCATGGCACCAGTGGCTTCCAGTAGGAACAGCAACTACCATTCTGGAGCTAGTTGTGAAAATGGGTGGCTGGTCAACACACAACGAAAGAGTGGGTTGCCTATTTTTGTATCTGAAACAAGCCTCATTTTATGCAGTGTTTTGAATGTTTGCATCTTAGCAAAGCATGCTACAAAATCATCATTAGTTCCACATCTTCATTTCTCCATTCCCTAACAACAGAGCTTTCGCCATAAATTCTGTGTCAGTGCAAAGAAAAGTTGGCACATTTCTACTTTTTAAAATTCCTTTTAACATTGTACCTTAAGCGCCCAGTATTGTATTTTGTGTTATTTTTTAAGTAGCATTCAGCCAGCTACAATTTTTTTCATATCACATTCTTTTAGAATGAAATTCATTTCCAGTCTGTAGCAGTCTTGGTGAATGCAAAGAAGTCAAAACACAGCTTGTTGAATGCAAGTAGTTTGTAGTTTGCTTGACTCTGGGTCTGGCCCTTGATTTTTTGTAGGGTCTGCAGAATGGGGCTTCAGTGGATTTCTTCAGTGGATAATCCTTATTATACCAGGAGGTACTGTAGAATGACGGGCAACCAGCACAAAAGGTTAGAATGGATCCTTAGGACAGGAGCAACAGAGAGGAGTTAGTAGTGTCTGGCACAAGGTCTGCCTCTTTTTGGCTTGCCAATAGCTCTAGAAGGGAAAGTGTAAACAGTGGTCTAGTTCAGGTATATTATCAAACCATGGTTTCCTGTTATGAGAGAGAGCTGTGGCAAGCTTTGGCACACCACCCTACATTCTCCTTTCTATCTTCAAGTATGAGCAGAGCAGACTGAAAGCTGTAATTTTTATAGTATTACCTTCAAACTGAGGAATCCAAGTTTGTCAATGAAGCATAGTAAGATTAAACTACAGATTCCTGAATTTGGACATACAGAAGACTGCAGTTTATTATAAAACAAAAGTGGAAGTTTTTAGTGTCCTCTTCTTGTAGAAAGAGCAGAGAGAGAAGTGCATAAACTTGAGGCTCACCGCAGCTCATAAAGCTAAAGCAAGGTTTGGTGCATTTCAAATTTAATGACGTTGTGTTTCTCAGTCCCTTCACAGCAGCAAAGTATGTCTTTCACCCTCTTAATTTAAATTTTAAAGCAGGTGGCTTTCTGCTTTTAACCTGCGCCAGTTTATGTGACAACATGGCAGCATTGTGTAGGATTAGCCTGTTTAATGCTTGCACCCTCCCAGTGCAAGAAGATGAATTCTCCATTTGGCAACGTGTGGCTCACAGATTTTAATCACACCAGCACAAATTGGCCTCCTGCTGAAACAAACTGTTGCACTATCTTGATATCCCTCCACGTTGGTGGCCCCTTGCATGCTCACACAGAACTTCTCTCAGATAGTTGTGGTGCAGGTAGCTGCCCACATGTGTGGCTGCATATATGAAAACTTAAGAGTACCATAAAATGCTTTTGAGCATCAAAACTATACAGGGGTGGTCAATGACAATCACAGTCCAAAAGACCTGATATTTTACATAGGAAAAAATATGATCATAGTTCACATTTATGCCAGAGGTGGGAAACTTTAGGTCGAAGGGTTGAATATGAGCCTCCACACCCCTCTGTCTGGTCCACAGGACTCGACCCAAGCCACATCCTCCCAGACCTCCCAGATCTCTCAGGGTGCCCTCCTGTTGTGATTTTAGCTGGCTAGAAATGTCCTCTTGAACTGTGATTCTACATCTTCCTTGCATGGAGAGTGGTATGTATCTGTCTACATCTACTGGTGTCATACTCATCACTGGGGTGCTTCCTAGAAGGTTGAAAATAGGTTTATTATCTCTGATTTACGTAGCACACTAAAGTCAATGGTGAGCTTCTTATTAAGTTTTCCAAAGGATGCTTTGAGCTGGACTCTCAGTTCAAACAACACAATAATTTAATTACAGTACTTGTGCACCAGCCTAATGGTATAAAATTGCACCTCATGCTTTCAAAGTTATACATCGGTTACTACATCCATGAATTAAACATGGTATGTATTTTGGTTGCTTTTCAGAATCAGTTTGCCCAACAAGAATTCCTGTGGCATCACGAGATGAAAAAGGATTTGATATACTTCTAGGTTTAGGTGTGAAGAAAAAGGTGAAAAAGAGAATCCAGATTCCATCTACCAATGCGAAAGCTTATGAAGTAACCTCGCGTATTGACTTGTCAGAATTGACAAGGTACAGGTTTTTTTTTGTTTTTGTTTTTAAAAAAGTTTATATCCTTTTAAATTAAAATAAGACTTCCTTATAATGGACTAGATAATTGTTTAAGAATTAGGAATTCAGAGTGTATGTTCTGCTAATTTTTTTAAAAAATTGCTTTCTAGGAATGTCTTTCCAGAAGGCCTTCCTCCATCATATGTGTTTGTATCCACTCAGAGGTTTAAAGTCAGAAAAACATGGGATTTGTGGAGGATTTTAAGCCTGGATGGAAGGCCACAAATAGCTGTTACTGTAAATGGAGAAGATAGAACACTGTCATTTACTACAACAAGCCTAGTAAATGATACGCAGGTTGTTACTTTTACTGCACCCCGTGTGAAGGTAAAGAAGGCATCACTCATGTGTTGATATATCTGTTATCCATATTGTGATTTTGAACGTGAAGTGATCCAGTGTGTGTGTGTGTGTGTGCATGTGTATTACACAAGCAAACACACACAAAGGTTGCTCTTCTATTTTGTTATTCTATTTTGTTATTCACTTATGGACTCATTGTTAAAGCGTGTTTATGGAAGACAATCTTACTTGGCTATGAGTGATTGCCAAAGATACACCCCTTTCTATGCCTTTGGTATAGGAAAGTATGATAGAAATACAAAAATAGATACGTAATCTCTATAAAGAAGATGGAGATCAATGTTATGCCTAGCTATCTTCTAGAGAAGCACAAGCTGGACAGATGAAGCTTGGCATGGTTATAACTCACCTACATGTAATAATGGGAAAATCCAAAAAGAATTTTGGGGTTTTTTCCAGTCTGATATAATTATTAGGCCATTTCTTTAAGTTGTTATAGTAGATAATGCACTTTAGTGGTTGAGCCCTTAATTCAGACTGGTGGTAGCAAGTTTTGAAACTTGTATTAGTTTATGTCTTTACATTTATGGACATGAATGTTGAATATATATTTACAATTCTCTCCCTTTTTTCTAGATGTTGTTTGATGAAGGCTGGCATCAAATCCGTCTCTTAGTAACAGAAGCAGATGTTACGTTGTATATAGATGACCAAGAAACTGAAATAAAGCCATTGCGTCCTGTTTTAGGGATCTATATCAGTGGAGTAACTCAAATTGGAAAATATTCTGGGAAGGAGGAGACTGTACAGGTATGTATGCTCAGAATACTACATTTGTGGAGTGCAGTTACACCTACCCAATGTTTAGATTTAAGCCTGATCCTAAGCATGATTATTTGGAACAAGTTCAATTAAGTTTAGTAAATAAGGGTGAACAGATGGAAAACTAAAGCAGATGAACATCAACAAACAATAAGCCTGTTGTATGTTTGGTAGCTCAAACCATGGTATGGATTCTTAACTATGGTTAGCATAAACCATTATTTAGTGAGATGTCAGGACCAAACCAGTATTTGCCTTGAATGTTTTTGAAGAACAGAATACCCAGTGTGAATTGTTTGCACAAGGGGAATATAAGAGTTGTAAGCAGCTGTTTCCCTTTTGCATTCATTGACCTTGGTGTCATTACAGAGGACTTGGTGTACAATAAGTAAATGCATAAACTACCAATGTGTGAGTCTGAACTGTTTTTAAGGAACTTTCAGCACTTTCTGCCCACGTTTGCATTCTGCTACACAAATATAAGCACAACCTGCCCTTTTACAAGTAATTCCTTAGCTGTTATGAAATGGATTTTAGAAAATAATATGTTCCAAGAGATTATGGATGTTATTTCTGATTACGAATGACCTTTATATGTTTCTAATTTGTAAAATAGTGCTGTAAATCAGTATGAGTAAGACAGAATGAGTTATTTCCCCTTGGACCATCTGAGGCTCAAGATATTTGGTTGGAGTGCTCATGAGTATGAATGGAGGGTTCTGTCAATTTCGATTCTATCTGTTTCTCCTTTTTCCACTCTTAAATCCAGTTCTCCCCATTTCTGCAGCAATCTGTTATTTTTAATTAAAAGCATCAAAAATGGGTATCTAATGAGTTCATAATCTTCATGTTACAGTTTGATGTCCAAAAGTTAAGGATCTACTGTGACCCCGAACAAAATAACCGAGAAACAGCCTGTGAGATCCCTGGATTTGTGAGTATGATAGGATTTATTTATTTTTGGTAAAGCTTGTTTTTCATTTTCATAAAAAACAAACGAAACCATATAATAGTGGGGAGGACCGTTCTCCTATTAAGAGAGTTCTTTATCTATCTCTCTCAAATAAAAGAAAGAAAGAAAGAAAGAAAGAACGCTTGAGCTATAATTGTGTTACCTGTCTAAGATATTTTTTTTTTAAAAAAAACACACTGCTATCTGTCAGCCTTCAAATTCCTTCAGGACAGAATTTTCTGCAAAATGTGTTGTGGAGAAATTGTTGTTTACCATTAGAGGTTGTTACAGAAGTCTCTGTATGCTAGGGAGACACTGGTAACATGTGACATAGTGTAATTAAAAGGTTCACAGGGGGTGATGCTGTGGGTTAAACCACAGAGCCTAGGACTTGCCGATCAGAAGGTCGGCAGTTCGAATCCCCACGACGGGGTGAGCTCCCGTTGCTCGGTTCCTGCTCCTGCCAACCTAGCAGTTCGAAAGCACGTCAAAGTGCAAGTAGATAAACAGGTACCACTCTGGCGGGAAGGTAAACGGCGTTTCTGTGCGCTGCTCTGGTTCACCAGAAGCGGATTAGTCATGCTGGCCACATGACCCGGAAGCTATACGCTGGCTCCCTCGGCCAATAAAGCGAGATGAGCGCCGCAACCCCAGAGTCGGCCACGACTGGACCTAATGGTCAGGGGTCCCTTTACCTTTACTTTACAACTATATGGGATGTGGATGGCGCTGTGGGTTAAACCACAGAGCCTAGGGTTTGCCAATCAGAAGGTCGGTGGTTCAAATCCCCTCAATGGGGTTACCTCCCATTTGCTCTGTCCCAGCTCCTGCTAACCTAGCAGTTTAAAAGCATGCAGTGCAAGTAGATAAATAGGTACCTCTCCAGCTGGAAGGTAAACGGCGTTTCCGTGCACTGCTCTGGTTCACCAGAAGCGGATTAGTCATGCTGGCCACATGACCCGGAAGCTATACGCTGGCTCCCTCGGCCAGTAAAGCAAGATGAGCGCCGCAACCCCGGAGTCGTATGCGACTGGACCTAATGGTCAGGGGTCCCTTTACCTTTACAACTATATATGCTTTGATTTTAACAATTTCTGCAGGCTTTCTAAAATCTTGAACTGATTTTGTTTATTTATTTATTCCAGAATGGAGAGGTAGGCAAAAACATGCCTATTCATATGGACTTTAAGGTAGTATTTAGTATCACCCTCACCCTTGCTTCCTTTGTTAATACATCACCAGGTAAGAGCATGCTGTTTGTCTGGGATAGTGAGGATATTTTTGTAAACATTTTTTTTTCTGTTTTCAGCTTTTGTGCTCAGTGAATAATATGTGCAACCTTTTTTTGTGGGGGAGTGTTAAATTATTTTGGACTGAATTTGGCATGCAATTTATATGCTATTTTTTACATGGGTAGTGGCATTTAGTTCTCACATTGTTGAATCTCTTTTATGTAGTCTGCTTTGCCTTAGAAGGAATATGCTTAACATTTAAGAAAATATATGCACTTAGAGAGCTAAACCATGAGCCCAGGTTCAGATGGCATGCTATTCCAGCAGCAAAATGGGGAGAGAGGAGAAAAGCAGTCACATTCTCCTCTCCGGGAGCCTGAACATTTGCTTGTTCATACTATGGAATAGTTCGGCTTAGAATTACCTGTGAACTGGGCCACTCTCTGATTTCCTCATCATACGTTGGTATCATGAAATCACTGTCAAGCCAACATGGTAGATTTCAGCAGGGATTTCAGGGGTGAAGGACTTTGTGGAGTAGGTTGTTAATAAGCATAAAGTTGGTTTGGTGTGCACAATTGAAAATTGTTTTTGGTTTTTGGTAGTGCATGAATGGACCAAGCGATGTAGGATCTACACCACCTCCTTGTATATGCCCTCCAGGAAAACAAGGACCACCAGGCCCCAAAGTGAGTGGAGCTTTTCATAATGTATAGTTGCTTTCATTATGTTTAACTCTGTGGCCATAACACAAATTATGATCATAATGCCTTATTTATATGCCCCCTTCTAGTTTAAAGGCCCAAAGTGAAAATTGCCTTTATTATTTCTTAGTTTACAGTTTTATATACTGCTTTTCAGGTTGACCTTACAAATCTGTTTACATAAGATCATTACAACAATAAGTGCCAAGTTAAAAAGAAGTTAAAATAGAATGGGAAAGAGAATGGCTGTTTAGAAGAAGCTGTTACTGTTGCTATCAGTTCCTCTTAGCTAGGGGTCAGTTGGGGAGAGTGCATGTACCCTTGACCATTGGCCATGCTGGCTGAGCTTGGTTGGAGCTGGAGTTCTACAACATCTGGAGGGGCAGCTTGTTGACTTTCCTTAGAATAAAATTTGTTACAGTTTCTGGAATCTAAGTGTGTATTAGGAGTGGAGGTGGGAGAATAAAATGAACTGAGGCATGCTTCATTTGGGCCATCGTCAGCTAGACAGAGATCTTAAGTATAGCTTTTAAATGTAATGGGTTATTATAATAATGTTGGATTAGGTAAAGGTAAAGGTACCCCTGCCCGTACGGGCCAGTCTTGCCAGACTCTAGGGTTGTGCGCTCATCTCACTCTATAGGCCGGGAGCCAGCGCTGTCCGCAGACACTTCCGGGTCACGTGGCCAGCGTGACAAGCTGCATCTGGTGAGCCAGCGCAGCAGACGGAACGCCGTTTACCTTCCTGCTAGAAAGCGGTCCCTATTTATCTACTTGCACCCGGGGGTGCTTTCGAACTGCTAGGTTGGCAGGTGCTGGGACCGAACGACGGGAGCGCACCCCGCCACGGGGATTCGAACCGCCGACCATGCGATCGGCAAGTCCTAGGTGCTGAGGTTTTACCCACAGCATCACCCGCGTCCCTACCAATGTTGGATTAGAACGTAGCAATTATCTCATTATTTGTTTTCTGCATAGTACTAAGACTTAATGCAGCTGCAAAATTAAGGCCAAGCAACTTTGCCCAGGTTTTGGACCACACAGTTGTAGCTGAAGACATGGCCCCTGGCAGACCCCACCATCTTCAGTTTTTCACCCAATGTTCTCTTGTAATGGATGTTCTGACACTCTTAAATACTCTAGAAGACAATGATCTCAACTCAGCCAACTCCCTGAGTCTCCACTTGAACATCTTCTCTTCAGAACATGTTTATGTACTTATGCATGTTATAAAAGTCTGTAACATCTTAAATATGAAGCAGAAGAACATATTTTGTGAAAACAGAACCGCAACCATTGAGGATGTATTGCGCTGAGAGATTAAGGACTGTATTATAAAGGCCAACTGTTGCATGAAATACTTCTGGGCTTCCCTCCAAGTTTTTATGACTTTGAAAGTATAATTTCCTGAAGTGCCAAAATATGGATGAACAGCAAATGGGTGCATTCACTTGCAACCCACCACCCCAACTTGGCAACATGTGATCAGGTTCTCTTGTGGCTGAAAGGCCCTATTAGACATGATGTTAGTCATGTGGGTACAGTTAACGTGCAAATGTTTACAAATGTAAATGTCAGCCTCAGGGAGGCTCAAGCTTGCCATTGTCCTGATCAATTCCACCACCCCATCCCTAGTTTATATTTACATTGTCAGGGAAGCCTCTTTTGGCACCAATGTAAATAGCACCTTCAGGGGTGATTTATGTTGGGGCCATAATGGAATGGGTTAAACTCCCCATTCCTATATCCCGTGGTCTTTCTCCTGCTTGGGCCCCTCTGCAGTGGTAATTAGTAGTTTGAAAAAAATGTACTGCTTTAATCCATACAATTAACATTAGCTACAATTAACATTAGCTTGGCCCTCCATGAATGAACAACAGAGGGAGATAGGAGGTGGTTGGTTAGGGGTTATACCTGCCTAAGCTGCACCAGGCAAATGAATGGGCTAGAATGACAGGCTTATTTCATTTTCCAGAAGAAGCATGAGTGGCTGATGTTAGATGAGGTAACCCTTTGGGGAAACACACACATGCACAGAGAAGGCAAGATGGCCACACCAATTCCGCTGTAGTTTCCGTGCAGATCTATGGGTTGTGAGCTTCACACAAAGCAGAAAATTTGTGCGTCAGAATTTACTATGTCAGAATAGAGTGAGGCAAAACAACCTTTCCTCCCTGCACTATTTATGAGGAGGTTTCAGAAGGGACAAGAGGAAAAAGGACATATTTCCCTTCACACTCTCCAGAAACCTCCCCCATATTTATATATAAACCCTGGAAGAGTTAGGGGGATATGTACTATAATGTTAAACTCCTCTTCTCCATGTTATTTCAGAAGATTTCAGGAGTGGAAAAGATATATTTTCTATAACTTTCCCAGAAGAAACACCCACTCCTTCCACCTGTGGAAGCAATAAAGAGTTTAGTTTCAGGGCTGACAACTAGCCCTGAACCACGAGCCCTTTACCACTTTATAGGGCAGTGTGTGAAGGTTTCAGAAGAGCTGGGGGGAGGGCACCCACTTCCATTCCTTTGTCTGCATCTGAAACCACCTCCTTCCTTTCAGGAGCCCTGTACAAGGCTCCTGTTTAGGTTGATTGAAACTCTGAGTAGCATCTGTTAGAGGCGGGGGGTATTGTGCAGCATTTAGTTGCTGCAACCTTCTCAGTTCTGTTCTGTTCTAATATGTTTGCTTTCTTCCTAGGGGGATCCTGGACAACCTGGGAATCATGGCTATCCTGGAGAACCTGGTCGAGATGGTAAGCCTGTGAGTACTAAAAACTTAGTCATCTATAGTAACTTTAATGCAAAACTGACATTAGAATTGTATCAGAACATTATTAAGGGTGACAAATGCTCATTATTAACATCAGGATCACGAGTAAGGGGTGACAGTTGGAATTCCCAATCAAGGAGGATTCAGGGAAGATCCATACGTTTTATTGAAAAAGCCACAGAAGTAATATGTCAGTGCTACCCTTTCCTTTAAACTTATAATTTACTGGGTTTTTTGTGCAGCAATTTCTAATCTTACAGTCGGGCGTCATAAATTGTTAATTGTTATTGCGGAAGGGGCATAGAATGTCAACAAGGATATATAATCCAAGTTTCAGAAACTGAAATGATGGCAAGTTAGGATTAGTTTTGTCTTTTCTTTAAAATAGTTTCAGCCATTAAAAAACAAAAAAATGAGTTCTGAATGCTGTGCTCACTCAGTTCTGATGTGATATCTTCACAATAGCATTACGAGAGCAAGCTGCAGCGAGCCCTCGTTCACATGGCTGATTTTTGTTAAGAAAGAGTAGAAGGAAGAGGAATGCAGCTAATTGCTCACTAGCTAGTCTAATGGCTTCCTCCTTGGGGTAAAACAATATGTAACTGTATCCCACCCAAAAAGAAGTAAGAAATGTAATATATTGTTCCTGTTAGTTCTTGCAAAAATGTGGATGGACGGTTATCATTAGTACTGCGAATAAGTCTGCAGTGCCCATACTCACCCTGGGAATAAGCTTCTCTGCACATAACTTCTGAATAGACATTTATAGTACTGTGTTGTGAAAGTGTTAGAAGGGAGGCTTTAAAAGGTTCAAATGAGTTCAGTTACTTTACCAGGCAATTAAAGTAAGGGAAAATTAAAATGTTGAAGCAGAAGTTTGGGTCTTTTCCCAAAACCATTCATCTCCTTTTGACTTTGGTAATAATGAATTCAAAGAATTTGGTTTTAATTCTTATGGGCCTTTAGAAGGTTTCCAGAAATCTCAAGAAAATGAGCTCCAAGTTAAGCAACGTGGCCTTTATTATTGTTAATGCCACTTAAGGCATTCGGTTCTTGCCCAGAATGTATGAGGCCTGTGATTTTTTATTTTTTGCATTTCACATTCTATTTCTGGTAAGGAGTCTTTTGATGGTGGTGGTTGTATATTTGGTTTTCTGTATCAGCTCTGTATGGAAAATCTTAAACAAATCCTTGCTGGAAACTCTGTAAATCTGAGGAACATTGCCAATTACTTGGAGAACTCCATGTTGCACTTTATAAAATGTCCAAATTTCTTATTTTGGTTGCTTAGTTACATTTTGGCCATGTTCGTAGGTATAACAGATGGTTGAGATTATTGTGGTGGTTCCCTTTGGATGCTGACACAATGCTAGTATGAAGAGCAGTAATACCAAAAATACACTTCTTTCCACATACTGGAAGATTATATTAGGGAAGAGTCCAATAATTTCAATAAGCAATACTGGAGCCATGTTCAAAGAGAACTCCTAGTTGCAGAACCTGGGAGCAATTTAAAGAACTCTTTTCATGGGTTCATTTTGAACCCTTCAGATAAATTATAAATCTACCATTTCAACAAAATGCTAAAATGCTCTAGGACAAAAAGAAGAAGCAACTTCTAATGTAGCACAAATTATTTCTTACTGTTTGCAGCAATCCCTTTCTTAGTTAATTATCAAGTAATCCCTTGATAATTATGACCACACAAGCAAGGGTAATTGGAAACAACAACAACAACAAAAAACAGAGCATTGTAGCCCTCCACTGTACATGAGTGGAGCTGTGCCAGCTAGCTAACATCTGGCTAGAATATGCCTGACTAACACATGAGATAGATAGTGTGTAGGTAGTATATTATTGAACGGAGGCCATCCTTTGAGTTTCCTTTGCCTTTAGGAGTTAGGCAGGTGGTGACCAGCGAAAGAGCTTTTTTGGTTGTGATACCCTGTACATGAAGTGCACTCTCTAGAGAAACTTGGGTGTTGCCAATTTTGATGTCTTCTCTGTACCATATACTGTAAGAAGAACATTGTCCAGGCTTTCCACTATGCATTGTATCTGGTTTTCAGTGATCTCTTGTTGTGCTGGAGAGGTAAGTACCGTACCTAATCCTGCAGCTCAGTGCACTAAAATGTGGATTAGCATGACATCCAAGCATGGCCATTGTGAACAATTTCATTGCACTTATGCAAATAGACTTCCTGTCTATTTTATGTAGGCTTCCCCTTTTGCAATTGGATTTATCTGGCCACTATACCAGGAAGGAAATGTAATTTTCCACAACAAAACAAGCTGCTTGCAGCAGGTTTGGATTTGTACAACTCCCCTTTTCATTGTGTTACCAAGTTTTTTGTACTTCTCAGGATTGTTGTGTTCTTGATCAAGCAAATATAAGCTATATTTTAGGTTTTATATGATTAATCGTGATCTAACATAATAGATGGGGTTTCCCCAGCCACTCTGGGCAGCTTCCAATAGAATATTAAAATACAATAACCTATTAAACATTAAAAACTTCCCTAAACAGGGCTGCCTTCAGATGTCTTCTAAAAGTCTGGTAATTGTTTTTCTCTTTGACATCTGGTGGGAGGGTGTTCCACAGGGCGGGTGCCACTACCGAGAAGGCCCTCTGCCAGGTTCCCTGTAACTTGGCTTCTTGCAGCAAAGGAACTGCCAGAAGGCCCTCAGCACTGGACCTCAGTGTCCAGAAAGAACGATGGGGGTGGAGCCGCTCCTTCAGGTATACATTGCTGTATGCAACTACCTACTTCCATTCAGTCTCTTTCACCCCTCACTAACTGAGAAAAGATACTGCTAACAAAGACTACCATAATTTAATACTGTATCTCAGACGTGATAAGACAGCCTTCTGCTATCAGTGGTGACAGCCTACATTTTTAAAAGAGAAATCCACATCTTTGCTGTAGCATTTGATTCTAGCTTGTGACATATATTCCCAGTACTGATATAAATAATAGCATAATGAACCATGGAGGAAAAATAAATCATTTTTGTAGTCTTGTAATGTGCCATATATATATATATATATATATATATATATATATATATATATATCTTCCTCAGATGTCAAGTTGGTCGTTTTCCCAAGTGTAGAAAAGTTTTAGGGAAAATGATAGAAAGTTAGGGTAGTAAGAAATAGTAATGGAAACGTCAGAAGACTCGAATATTGCCTTGATCTACCTAAAGTTAGTGATGACTGAGGTTGCAATCCTTACCTCCTCAACTGCAGGGCTTTGCAGAACCACCACTGCATCCACAGCCCATCTGCTCATGGTGGCCACAGCAGAAGATGATGGTGGCAGGATGATCAAGCTCATCACTGCACCAGCTGCTGGTTGGCATAGCAATGGAGTCTGGACTGAGCCTGATGCTGGCCTGTGATGACTGTGAGACTGGCTGGGGATCCTAGACTGGCTCAGCCCCTCCACACCTTTGAAACACCCCATTTTGGGGCTATCCTCTGAGCTCCACCGGTACAAGTACCACCACTGAGTTTCCTGGTTCTAGTTGGGAGTAACTGCTGAAGTTGAAGTCAAGTTCAAACCTAGATTTCTTAGCTTGTGTTTGATCATGATAGGCTGAGGAGAATGAAGTCTTCATTTCACTCTTTCCCAGCCAACTTTCCATATACAAATTTCTGCTTTTGTCAATTTGTTTGCAGTGCAATAATTCCACTGGATTCCTCCCCTGCAACACACACATATTGGAGTGAAATTTGGTACACATGTTTGGGGCCCAGTTCTAATACCATCTTAGTCTCCATACACATTTTTAAAGAGGAGGAAAAAATGCAAAATACTGAACAATGCAATATCTCTTATTTCAAATATGAACATTTAACACAACATAATGCACTAGCTCCCTTGAAGATTAAGAAAGGAACTGGAAAGTTAGTGTTGTGTGTTCAGGTCAGCATTCTGTACGGTAAGAACCTCTTCTCAATCAGCAAATGGTTTAATGGTGGAAGAGCCAAGCAACATCTGAAGTGCAGCCTTTCAAATCCTGTGCTTTGCTAATTTTAAAATCAAATCCCTACAGTCCGGAAAAAATATATAAATAAAGTTCAGGTAGTTTGTAATTGCACAGAGAAGTTTGCTACATAGGTAGAGAAAAAGAGAGCCAGTAGTACTGGTTGTGCGCAAGTTCATGCACAAGATACTGACATCTGCTTATAGAGCGGTACAAGCATAGGCTTGTGTTGCCAGGCTTAGTGGATTGCCACATGCCCACACAGTTATACTTCAGGCTGCAATATTATGTTCACTTACTAGGGTGTAAGTGCCACTGACCTCAGTGCTTTTGAGTAAACATGGTTAGAAGATTGCACTGTTGATTCCACTGATTTCAGTAAACTGGTTTTTTGGGGGGTGTTTTTTTTTTAAACAGACCTTTCTATGAGTCAGTCATTACATGTAGGCTGAAATCCTAAACAAACTTAGGCACAATGAACTCGATGATCCCATGAGTCATGACTCGTAGGCTGTAGTCCCAAGCACACACTGAACTCAGTGGAATTTACTTTTAAGTATTATTATTTTTTGAATAATTGGGGCTGTAAAACACAGATCACTCGTCTGAGTAGATCACATAGCCAGAATAGAAAGGGCTATATGAAAGGACTAAAATGTAGCCAGAAAAATCCCCCTACCCTTAAGCTGTGTGATGTTAGATGCCTCTCCTGATGAGGCTTTACAGAAGTTCTAATAAAAGTATACAGGCCATGTGCCATAAAACTTTAAATATGATGGAATATTCCACTGAATTAGAGTCATTTTATTTTCATGCATGCAGACATAACTTTCCATGGGTAATGTATGCTCAGAGAGACATGTGACTGGCAAACCATGGATGTAATCAGCAATTCCCAAAGTGAGAGTCTGTGTGGAGAAGACTGGTGTGGAGGGGAAAATGTATAGTGTGTAAACTTGTACTCAGATTTTGGTAATTTGGAACTCAGGACATCACGTGGACTCAACTGTGCATTCCTTTTCTTGTGTACATTGATTTCCCATGTCAGTAGCCAAGAATATAAGCAAAAGCAAAATATATGCTGGATCTCATACCAAAAGTCTGTCTATTCCAGCAGCTTATTTTCCATTGTGGTCAACCATATGTTTTTGGGAAGCCCTCAAAGCAGGTCATTTTTCAGTGTTGTTCCCGAGTAACTGGTGTTCAGAGCCATGGTGTCCCTGTCCCTGGAATCAGCAGATAGCTGTCATGACCAGTTGCCATTAATAGCCTTAGCCTTAGTGGATTTGTCCCTGTTTAAAGTCATCTGAGTTGGCTGCTGTCACCCACTGTTTGGAAGTGAATGCCATACCTTAACTATGTGCAGTTTGAATCAAGGAAATGGTACTGGAAATGGGGGTAGGACTAAGCAATGAAATCCCAGTCTAACCCCCCCCCCCACCTAAAAAACCTCTCACAGGAGATTTGATTAGGGAATTGCCTGATATATCTGATTTGGCTCTGTTTCACTGAATTGTGCATAATTATATTACGATTATGACCATTGGTTTTGCAGTGATTGAATGTAGAAATTAAAGTGATTTTTTTTAAAAAATGGCAGAAATAGGAAGTACTTATTTTTTCATCTAATTTTTAAAAAATATATATTTTTTATTTTCAAATTTTATAATCACAATAATTCATAAATTCAATGTTTTTCCAATCAAGAACAAAAAACAAACAAACAATGTAGACTTCCCCCTCCCCTCCCCTGGATTCTAATCTTTCCCCACAAAATTTCTTGCATCTCATTTTATCTCAAAATTCTTTGTTTTTCCCTCTTGTTCATCTTAATTTCCAATTATTAGATTACATAAATGTTATATCAAACCTGCTAACACTTTAATATATTTACAGTGGTCTTTTATAATCTATAAATCTCTTCCATTCCTGCTCAAACTTTCTCTCATGCTGATCTCTGATCTTCGCGGTCATCTTTGCCATTTCGGCATAGTCCATCATCTTAATTATCCATTCTTCTTTTGTTGGTATCTTCTCCTGTTTCCAATTCAGGGCCAGCAACATCCTTGTGGCTGTTGTCGCATACATAAATAACGTTTTTAGGTCCCTAGGTTTTCCAACCCCTGTTAGTCCAAGTAAAAAGGCTTCTAGTTTTTTAGGGAAAGTTATCTTAAACATCTTTTTCAATTCATTATACTGTATATCATTTCCCAGAAGTCTTATGCTTTTCTACAGGACCACCACATGTGGTAAAAAGTACCTTCCTTTTCCTTACATTTCTAACACACATTAGCTTTTCATCTAAAATTTAAGGCTATCTTGAAAGTCATATACTTTAAAGGTCAGGTGTAAATGTTGTAAATAAACTAATTTGCCTTATTTATTTATCAGAATAGTACTATCAGCATAAAAATATGTTAGGCGTTTCAATATAAATGAGAGTTTCATTGACTGATTGATTGATTGATTGATTGGTCGGTCCTGCTTAGGTTCCTTGCTATAGCAAACCTGTTTCCTATTCCACAGCTTGCTTAAGTATGTCAGATAGAAAGTGTGATATGGTCACTGGAAAAAGAGGACAGTATTTTTGTTTTTAAAAAATACAAAACCAGTATATTCTGTTGCTGCTCTTCTATGGAGGAAGCACAGGGGAAATTATTCTTGACATGCCTACTGGAAAATAAGGTATCCAAACTGAGAGGGGGAAAATGAGAAGAATTTGTCCTCCGGAAGAGATGTGCACCAACATCCCATATTGCATCCTTTTCTGGAATTTTATTATAATATTTATTCTTCCTTCATAGTGTCCAGTTAAGTGCTGTGCAACTTAAAACTGACCTGGCAGAGCTAGCTTTACTGAGATATCCAGATGCAGACTCTACACGTGGAGCATTGTTGCTGACCTTCTTAAAAGAATATCAAATGTCTCACCTAATAAAGTACTTTTTTTTCTTCTGGTGGTGCCAGCATTTCCTTGAACAAAGAGCTGCAGGATATTGTTACTGACTTTCTGTCCAACGATTTTGTGCTTCTCTCCCTGTTAAGGACCTAAAGAGGAATCTTCTTCACACTGTGTACTTTGTATAAAAGCCAGATACATTAACACCATTTTAAAGCTTAAAAAAACAAACAAAAAACCCCTCATCTTATCTTCATTGTCTTCTGTACATATGGCCCATCTTAGCACACCACTATTGGCTGCGTTTTACGCTCCCACTTAGATGCTGTCTGAGATAGCCCAAAGAGAATTCCTCAAGTGCCTTATGGAGGCATTCCTTCCACAAATTTTACAAGCAAGGAATTCGTTTAGAGAATGATGGCCCTCTACATCTTCATTAAATTAGTTAGTATTGGGTATGGCTTTCCTACATTTTGTTGCAGGAATTATAGGCATTAACCAGTACCTGGTCTCTGTGGCACAATGTGATCTTTACTTGTACAGGTCAAGCTTGGACAGGTGGTGGTGGTGACCCTTTGTTTTGGTCAGGGGTGGGGTAACTGTGGCTCTTCAGATGCCGCCAGAGTATAACACCCATGATCCCTTACCACTGACCATGCTGGCTGGGACTGATGGAAGTTGGAATTCAAAATCAGGAGTGGCCACAGGCTGCTTTAGGTTGAAAACTGAAAGGGATTACCAGCCATTTTTAAGCTAGATCTTTTCTGTCTTGTCAGACATTTTGGACCACATGGTGAATGTCTAATGCTTGATCTGTGTGGTTGGCTGTTGTTTGTTTGCTTATTTGTTTAATGTGGACATTTCTGTCATTGGTCTGTTATAACTTATTTTCTTGACAATATTCATCGGTTTCCAAAGGATAGTAGTGAACAACAAACCATTTTCAAAACAGGTTCTGATAGCAGTAGCAAAAACATCAAGACTGCAGTTATAACCCCACATTTACTTAGGAGTAAGTATATTGAATTCATTGGGACTAGTACGAATACTGATTATTTGAGTAGCCGAAGCCATTACAAGAAATAAAATACAATCAACTAAACAGTTGAAATAATGATTTAAACCAGGCATTCTGCAATGGGACTTGCTTTTGAGGAGAGATAGTTAGGCTTGCACTGCAGGTTGGTACATTCAGTGACCATGAAGCTACTTGGCAAATCCATTAACGCTCCTTATTTCTCTGGAAAAATGAGACCAATAATGCCATATACATACAACTACAAACAGCTGTTGCAAGGATGAATTAAGTATGGATTGTGGCATGTTCTGTATACTAATTAAGATATGAATGAAAATTTGCTACAGATAATTGGTAATAAGAAGTTTGGTCACCAAAGAGATATTTGTGGCAGCTTTCTACACCAGTGTTGCCACAGTTTCTACAGTGGGGATGGGCAGCTCTTTGAGGTGAGGGGACCAGAACTTTATACAGTATTCCAAATGCAGTCATGTAATAGACTTGTATGGTATTGTGATATTGGCAGTTTTATTTTCTATTTCCTAATCATCCGTAGCATGGAATTTACCTTTTTCACAGCTGCTGCCTCATACTGGCTTGACGTCTTCCTTGAGCTATTTACCACAACAACCCCAAGGTCTTGTTCTTGATCTGTCACCTCCAGTTCAGACTCCATGAATGTAGATGTGAAATTCAGATTCCCCCCCCCCCCACAACAATCATAGTTTTGCACTGCATTCTGTTTGCCATTTTACTACTCATTTACAAAATTTGGAGAGGTCATTTTGAAGCTCTTTGCAATCTCTTTGTATTTTAACAACTGAATGCTTTAGTATTGTCAGCAAGCTTGGCCCGCTCAAGTCCTAAGCACTTAATCCAGTTGCAACGGGTTTTACATCTGAACTGCAGAAGTGTTGCTTTTAAAGTACACTTTGGTGTAATGTTTGGGTTTCTCTTCTTAGGGCTACCAAGGAGTAACAGGGACTCCAGGGATTCCAGGATCCCCAGGGATTCAAGTAAGTTCACGGCATCTTTTCATAGTTCTAAAGTGGAGTCCTTATAAAGAGGTTAAATGAATTATATCTATAAATAACATTAGTAATATGCAATTGTTCCTTACTAGGGGCCACGAGGCCTTCCAGGTGTGAAAGGTGAAGCTGGGTCAGATGGGGCAAAGGTAAGCCTAGTTTTGATAGCTGCAGTTTCTGTACATTAACACAACACCTTTATGAAGAACTGTATATTTAGAATGTTCCAAAGATGAACTTACAGCTGCCACATTATAACTACTTATAATATATGCCTTTGTGTAGATAATAATACTTCTGGAAGAATTGTGTGTTTGTTAAAAAAAATATTCTTCATTTCTTTTCAAATCAGTTCCATCTTCCACCCTTGCTTGATTTGCTTTGGTTTTTTCCTGTGTTCCAAATTTCCATGGGTTCACAGGATATTCAGCCAATCACACATGGAACTTTCATTACATCTGTATGCTTAGATGTATTTTTGAATGCATTTAATTAGTAAGCAATGTTTCTAAAAGCTTGGCTTACTAAAAAGTTACGATCTTGGTGTGTGAGGCTTCTGGGTGTAGCTGCGCTCATGCCAAAGTGGGTGTGATTTTATTGGCTAGATTTCAGCTCTTCTTTTTATAAACATAATTCTACATGTGTGGAAAATTCAGATGCTTCAACTTTCTGACATGTCTTTTTCCTGGAAATGTAGCATACTTTTGTATGACATGGAATCCTTCTAACCATCCTTTTATATAGTTCTTGTACATCTACAGAAGTATGTAAAAAATAATTGACTGAACCAAATTCCAACGAGCTCTTCAGTGTGCACATAGAGCTCCCAATGATCACATGATTCTCTATAATGTTAAAGGGAACTCAACATGCATAGTGAAGAGGTATGCTTGGGAATGTCTCCTAACATTTGGGGCAAATGAGGGAACCCATGAGTGTTTGAGCTCCTTCCTAAATATAGTGCTTCTAGGTGTGCCATGAGCCTTTAAATCAGATGCTTAAATTCTTCATTCCGTGTGAGGTAGGCTGCCATTATGATTTAGCTCAATAGCACCTGTAAAATTCATGTCTGAACTGAAACTTGAAGTCAGGTTTCCTGAGTTGAAGCTCATTTCCTTAATCCAATGAGTGGGAGCAACTGTTGGGAGAACTTCTTCCTCAGTGAAGTTTAGTGAAATGATCCCTTCAATTTCTATATCCACAAATGGAGCAGAGGATTTTAAGAGGAGAATTTGCATGCATCTCTGGTTGCTACCAGATTCAGGCTGCAATTCTCTACCCCTGAATTCAATGCAGCAAAGGTCCTCTTCTTGCTCAAGGTGTGGTGCCTTTGGGTGGCTTATATTCTTCTGCTCTTTTCCTTATCTTGTCTCATGGTTCCTTTTACCTCCTTTTTCTAGGGTGAACGTGGACTTCCAGGTTTCCCTGGATTGCATGGGATGCCAGCATCTAAGGTTCAAACCAAATGCTTCTTGTAAAAATTGGTAGGATGTTAAAAAGTATCAAGGGATGTTGAAAAGCAAAAAATGGTGCCTAGTAGCTTGTTCAATGAAAATGTAAATGGTGCAATTACTTCATCCAAGAACTTTTAGCTTCATTTATTTTCAATTAGTGTAGGCAGGCAGCTATACTTACTTAGGATGATCATCTTATATCTACTCTTTTCCATCACACGGGCCGTGACACGGTGCTAAGCAGACAATTCTCTAGTATACACCCCACCCTGACCAAGGAAACTGGCATTCCCATTTAATTTATCTAGATTGTTTTAAACTAATATTGTAATTTAAATAGTTTTAACCTGCTTTGAGACCTTATGTTGCAGGAAAGGTAATAAATTGAAAATAATAATAGATGGCATATGAAAAACTATGGCTGTGAGCACATGCAATGCTAATCTATGGTTTAGTGTCATGTGAATGAGCAACACTGTAGTCTCCTGCCCCTCTTTTCCTTCTTTATAACCAGAAGGAGGATTTAGTGGTGTTTAGATTCACTGGATTAGTGTTAGATTCGAACCAGGGGTTCTGTTTTAAAAAGAACTCTGGTAAGTTTTATAGCACATCAGCTTCAAACCATGGTTTACAAAGCAGTCGTGTTAAACTAACCACACTTCATTTGAAACCAGGACCCTTTGCTGGAACATAATGACAAACTGATGTTCTGTGAAACTGAAGGTAGAGGCTAACAAAGTTGGTTTCCTGGCCACACAGGAAAAAGAGAGAAAAGGGGAGTGCAGGAGCTTGATGTTTTGCTTGGGCTTGTCCACAGAACCATGGTTTAGTGTAACATGTAGATATGTTGCCCAATGTCAGTTCAAAACGTGTCTTTTGCCATATATTCCTCAGATAGCCTTGTACTTTAGTATACTTCTGATAACCTACAACATGCAATTGTTTGAAATTTTGCTTAGGCATTTGTTTGAAATTTAGCTTTTCTATATTCAACTTCCTATAAATTGTTACCAGTGGATTTTCATACAATGAAAGACCATGGGTTTTCATTTCTCCCTGCCATTCAGTTATTTGATTGAGCTGCGGAGCTGCTTCCCCAGCACCAGGCATTGCTGCTGTTTACTGGGGCAGTATAGGGACAGAGTAGGGTTGTGGCAAGGTTGGGGCTGCGTTGAGTGCACCAGCAGCAATCCCAGATTGGTTCTGCTGGTATGCCTGAGCAGCTCTAACCTAGCTGCCACCCTGACCTTATCCCACCAAGCAGCATTGATGTTGGTATTTTAGAGGGCAGCTGTGTGGCACCATCCCATCATATAGCCATTCTGACTCCAAGGTGGTGAAGGCAGACTTGCATTCTATAAGGCAGTGGCTTGAACATATATTTGCTGCAGTCTTAGGCAAATGTGTTTCCAGGACAGCAAATGTGTATTCAAACCACATCCATATCACTTAAATTGCTGCCTATCTCACTGATTCCCAATGTGTGGGACATCCTGTCCTGAACAATGTAAGTTGTTTTCTTAAATCAAAATGATTTCTGTATGCACATTTTTTAATCCAGGGTGACAGGGGACCTAAAGGAGACCAAGGGCTACCAGGAATTTATGGGAAAAAGGCAAGTATAAATTTAATATTTAAAATTGTATTGCTGGTAGAAATGCAGGCAAAGTTCCCTGAGCTCAGCGTTGCATACAAGCTTTGGGGTTCAAGAAGGCTTCCAAAGGAGAGCTGAATGTCACTAGCCCCGGCCGCGCCGGCCCTAAATAGGGCAGGCCACGCCCCCCGCCACCCGATTGGCTGGCTGGGGGGGACGACGCAGCCGGGATTCCCCTGCTCTCGCGGGGGCTGAAACCAGCCCCCGCTCACGTGGGGTGGGCGTGAAGCCCGCAACCCCACCTCCTGGGCAGGCCGGAAGTGGCTATGTCACTAGCTCCCAAATTCTTTCCTCCCACCTGCCCTGCCAGCTCTCCTTAACCCCACCACAGCTAGCCCCACAATCTTCACAACATGTTCTTTCTTTCTGTGCTTTGCACAGGGAGAGGGAAGTTCTGTCCCCCTACCCCAGTGCTCTGGCTACATCTCTTCATGGCTAGCAGGACTTTACCTTGGTGTCCTGCTGTGCTGTTATCTGTCCTGGTCTTTGCTTTAGAACAGTGGTTGCAAATGTGGCATCCATCCAAATGCTTAGAAAGTTGAGGTAATTTTAATCTGCTTTAGTGTTTTAACTTTTGTATGTTTTTAAGAATGGTTGTAATTTTTTCTTGCTTTTAATATTGTACCTTTTTGTGGGCCACTTTGAGGTTTTTGGGGTTGTTGTTGTTACAATCAAACAATGTATAAACTTTGTGAAATGAAATGAAATAAACTCCCATCAGCCTCAGCCAACATCACCAATATTTAGGGGTAATAGGAGTCCAGCAGGATTTGGAGGGCACCATTTTGGCCAGACCTTGGTCTAGAAGACGTTGGCTGAGGCTTTCTTTTCCCCGCTGTGGTTGTGTTCAATGTAGTCCTAATGCTACGCTCCTGTCAGTGCAAGGATTTCTCCCTCTCTCCTTGCTTCACATGCCTGCTAAATCTCTTCCCACAACCATCCAGAGCAGATTTAGGGAGGTACGGGGTGTGTATGGGGAAAGAGGTTGAAAATTCTTTTGTGTTAGGGCTAACTCTTGTACTAGCACAAAAAGTTAATAGAATACCTCCCTGTGCCTTTCAAACAACCTCCCTCTCTGTTACTGTCCTACGCCTGGAGTACTTGTGGCATGTTTAAATCTCTCATTTTCGTGATTGCTCTGGAATTAGCAGGATGATGGTCCTTCCTCTTGTGATGGAGGGCAGAGCGTGCAATGATGTGTTCCTTTCACCTTTTCCCCCTGGTGACTCCCACCTTAGCCTTGGCAGGAGCTTTGTATTCTCCAGTGAAAGGCTGCCATGCCTAAAATCACTCCAGATATTCTATACACCAAACACACCCTACGTGCCATTCAGCTGTAGAGTGTAAGTGCTCCAGGTTTATGAACAATGGGACAATAATCTATCCTGCCACGGTCAGGCTAGGAACTGATGAGCTGACTTCCCCTCACTGCATGTGTATGGATGTTGTGTCATGGATTAATCACTCGAATTGCCTCAGGTCGTGATGACACACTGGCTTACTTTGCTTAAACAATACAGTTGCCTTTCTTATTGCCTTCTTTTATTCTTTTGACAGGGTGCAAAAGGAGAAAGGGGTACAGCAGGGTTTCCAGGAATGCCTGGGAGGCCTGTAAGTTTCATGTTGTTGCTTTTGCTTTTCCTTTTGACAGTTTTCTCTCATTACATAATGTGAATAATAGCATCTTCACTGTATTGTCACAGGGAAATCCTGGGAGCAGCGGGAAAGACGGCCTACCTGGAAATCCAGGTTTTAAGGTATTTGAAATATTGAATCTATTCAAATGCAATAGGACAAATACCTTGTACTGAGATATTTTTCAGGTGCATATTTTCTCCCAAAAGAGCTCTCGTCAGTCAAACAGGCTTACAGACTAAAAAGACAAGGCAAATAAGGGAAGGGGAGTTAGTGGGAAAAGAGAGAGGAGGGAGGTAAATTTGGCAGTGCTGGAATGCATTTGCTTTTCAAGCAGTCATTCCTATTCGCATTCCCTATAATCATTCATATTCTTCCTCTGCTGGTGTTCTGGTTTGGATAGAAGCAATGCAGCTACCCCCGCGTTTAGTCTTTTGGCCAAAGTCCCCTTCTCTTCACTTCTGCAACCCCAAGGCAATTGGCAGAGGAGTGGATGAAAAGATTTAGCACACATGCCCCATGCAAAGAGCTAGCAAAGATGTCTACCAGGAAAAAAGAAAAGAAGAAAGGAAGCACAGTATTTACTTAGTCCCAGGAGAGGTTGTCTGGGATCTCCCTTGCTAAGGAAAGCCTTAGTGGAGTAGCCTCCCTGGAGTTGGGGAGGAAATTGATTGCAGGCAGGCATAGTTTTTTGCCTAAAGCAGCCTGGTTGTTTCATTGCCTGTAGCCAGACATTATATTAGAGAAGGGGATAGATGCAAAACATTTGTGAAACTTGCTGGGTCCTGTTAACTCCTGCATGCCCAGCTCATTAGTTCTCCTGAGACAGCTTGCACCCGTGAGAGAAAGCAAGTAGAATGATCCTACAGGTTGCATGTGGGGGAGGGAGGGAAGGGAGCTTGTATTTATTTGAGGGTGTGTGTGCATGCCTGTGTTTCAGTGGTTACCCTGTGGAAGCTGCAGCCTAACCAAAGAGCAATACAACTCAGGACCAGGTTACTTGAGAGACCGCCTCATCCCTTGAATACACAGTAGGACACTGTGTTCTGCAGGAGAACTTCCCCTGCTAGTCCCAAGAGATTAGAGGCCCCACTGCATAGTAACGCAGAGAATTTTCAGGGTGGCTGTTCCTGTTTCATGGAACAGCATTCTGGTCAAGCTACGACAAGCACCCCCTATCTGCACTTCCTGGAAACAATTGAAGACATTATCTGTGCTGTTTTTAATTATCTTTAAGCTGTGTTTATATTGCATACATTGCCTTGAGACATATATGTGGAAGGTAATTAATAACTAATAATAAAATGTATGTAAGGAGGACTGAAGTCATATGCAGTTACTTGTATTTCATTTATCTTTAAAATGCTGCCATTGGGGCCACCCCTGTACCAAAGCTTTCTTTGTTGCTGCAGCAGAAGTTCTTGTAGTTACCCCTGTTCCTGTAAACTCAACACATGTACAGTCCTCATGGATCCTTTCTCTTCATGGGTGGTGCTGGTTTGGCTGCATAACCAACAGCACTCAGTAGCTGAAGATGAGAAATAGAGGGAATAGGGAGAATGTATTGGATTGTCATCTGAATGGTTTTTCCTGCTGGTGATGTGGGCTCAGTGCATTCTTTTAAAATTCTATGTCTTTATGTTTGAAAATCATTACATTCTCGAGTCACTCTTTGATAACGGGAAGATACAGAAAAGGAAGAGTTTGCTGCACATATTCTCATTTTCTTTAAGCTATAAAAGCAGTAGTCTCTTATTTCTGCTGGAGTAAAATGTTGTCAGCTTGCCTTTGAACATCTGCTCTCCATAAAACACCACTTTACTTTGGGCTTTATTGTAATCAAAATCAGAGGATTTTTACAAGCATCTTTGGAGATTTCTGCTGGAGCCTTCCTTATTTTCTTAGAAAAATTCAGAAACAGATTTATTATTGGAAACAGTAAGAAATACTTTGCTGCACACCAAACCCATCCTTTCTACAATTTGGCCTCTGTGTGGTCACACACATGGGGATCCTCTTCTGTGGAATGATCCAAAATGCAACCCTTCTTTGTGAAATGGGTGAGTTTTTCTCCCCTGTCTCTTTCCATTGATTCTAGAAATGCTGCAAAAAATAGATTCAGCCAGCCCCTCCCTTCTTACTGCAGACAGATCCACATCAGGCATGATTTGCAAATCTCTGAATCATGGTTGCCGAGTTTCAAAGCTATAGCTAAATCAAGCCTGCACAAGATGTTCTCTATAGTTTCCCCATAACTGCTACACTTCTTATGATAACCAGTGCTCTACTTTTATCATGCTGGCTCTTTGGTAACTATAGTTAACAAATTACGAACCACGATTGAGATCATGCACTCCCATTCCACAGCTCCTTCCCATTGCAGAATGAAGAACACATACAGTCCTTAACCACAGCTAAGCAATTAGTCATTCAGCACCAGCGCTAACCATGGTTAAGGCTAGCTAGGATTTCCCCTCACAGTAGTATCTGAAATGCAATTTAAACTGCAGATTTGAATTCTGGGTGAAGGGGAACGGGACAGCCTTAATGTTGGCACTGACAGTGCTTAACCATGGTTTAAGGGGGAGGAGTGTATTTGCTTTGGGGGTGGGTGAGGGCAGATCACAGCATTTCTGAGACTGGCTCCTGGTTTCTTAATTGTCTGGGGAATCACTGTTAATCTGCACCATCCCTTCTTGTTCAGAGGTGATTCAAGCTGTGGCTGCAAAGGAAGGATCTCACTTTGTAATTCAAGCCGGGGCTACACTTTCCTTAAATTCAATCCACAATTCAGTTTTATCTTCACAACCCTGTCAGTTACGTTTAGTGTGAGAGATGGTGACTGATCCAAAGTCACACTCTCAGCTTTGTCGCTGAGTGGGGATTTGAGCATGGGTCTCCTCAGCCCTTGTCCGACAACCTAACCACTGTACCCCAGTCTCCCTTACAATGGATATCAGTGACTTAAGGGCACTGCAGTATGAACCATCACAGCTAATGAACCATCACAGCTAGCAGACAGAAAGACAGCCAGGTTTTTAACAGGTTCCCTAAAAAGAAGAAGTTTGGCAGCATTATGCCCAGAGTTAGTTTTACTGCCAAGGCTGCCAAGTCAGCCTTTCAAATCAGTTTGTTTAGATTTGAATAAATATGTCGAAGTACGAGCAAGGCAACCTTCTTCCTTCATTCTTGTGTTCAAAGAAAAATAGTGACTGGTGCAGTCACAATTCCAAAAAATAATGAGGGTTTAGATCTAAAGGACCATGTCTGCTTATGTGTGTTTCTGAAATTTGAGTAAAGCAGCCACTTGGCCTGCATTGGATGCCATTCCCAGAGGGTTCTCTGACATTCAGGAGCAGCTCTTCAGGGTGGGGAGGATGAGAGGCTGTAGTAGGGAGGAGCTTTCAGATATGACTAGTAGTCTGAAGACACCTCTTTGGATCTTGTGCAATGTCTGCAACTCAGATGAGTGCAGGAGGATAACCTAAACAATGGCTTGGGGCAGTGGGAAGAAATGTCATAGCTATTCATGGTGATGTAATACTTTTCCAGCAGATTTTGCTCATTTCCTCTATATTGGCTGAAGAAAGTGCATGTCCTTTTATGAAATAAAGCCCTGCACTGAAAGGCAAACATTTTAACCAGTTAATATTTTGAACTAATTTTAACTGTTTGTCATCAATTTTAAGGGAGAAGCCGGACAACCAGGTTCTGCAGGACTAGAAGGACGACGGGGAGAGCCTGTAAGTCCACCCCAACGTTTTATACTTCAGTTATATTTTGCACTGATATTTTGTTACAGTTTTGCAGGGGTTCAACATTTTTCTTGGAAATATATGTTTTTAGAGGTCTGGTGTCAAGGAAGTTTGAGTCCAGTTTGCTCTATTATACTGATGAGTAGATCAGGCTTACCCATGAACCAGACCTCCTCAAAATAGTGGCTCACAGGCATACATACATGCCTAGAATCAGGGAACAGTGGGACCTACTTCTGAGTAAATAAACAGAGGTTTGCATTGCATTTCTATGTAGACCTCAGTGTAAGGATCTCACAGTGTGATGAGCAGAGATGGAAGGGATCTGTCATTTTTGGTTCTCTCCATTTCTCATTTTTCCAATCTTAAATTCAGTTCTCCATATTTTGGTAGCAATTTGCAAAAATACATATTTTTTAAAATCCCCACCAGCATTTTTTTGTGAATTTATTTTAACAAGCACACTTATGCAGTTTTGCATTTTTGCAAGCAATTTCTCCTAGTACAATTCATTTTTTTATGTTCTTTTCGCTAATATAGGCATCTTTGTGCAATGACTGTATTTGGCTTCTTCTCATATTATTCTGGAAAGTACAAATTCAATAGATTCAGCTTTAAATGTGAACTGAATTGAATCCACCCCCCATTCCTAGTGATAAGAGAAAGTGGTTCTCTGAATTCACTTGCTGACATACATAACTAGAGTGCACCTGCGCTTGGGGAAAAATAAATTCTGAGGCTGCACTTCAAATTAAGATTCTGCCAATGTGAGTGACCTCATAGTTACTAGGATGCATAAACATTGAATGAGCAAGAGAACTGGAACTTGCTTCTTCTGATCAGCAGTCTCTGTGTCCTAGATAATGACTACTAAATATATAACAAAAAAGTTGAATTAACTGTATTGCCCACTCCGCCTATAATTCAAAATGATATATGTGTTTAAAAGTTAGGTTGTTTCAAACACTTAGATTTACAGTTATTCTTGGGAACGAACATCAGAGAAATTATTATGTAGTTACAGTGGTCTGAAACTAGTGTACAGTGAGGATAAAAACTGGGTCAGTAGAAACATATGATACCTTTCCATGTCCAAAATCTCTGCTAGTAGGAGATGCTTGAGGAACATGCCTGGACCGCTGTCTGCATTTTTGTTCATTGCGCTGACTTCAGCCATGTTTGGTGCCAGGAAAATCAGTGTTTGTATTCCCTATAAACAAACAATGTTATTCTGCCAGTGAAATTTGGATGCAAATTGTTTAAGTCCTTCTTAAAATTTAGGTCTGTGTTTTATTATCCACTAGCCCCTTTGAGTCTGTAAAAAGGTAGAATATAAATCCAAAAATATAACCAGGTAGGTAAGTTGCCATGTGATTTTCAGATCTTCTTTCTTATATTTGAACTTGCAGAATAACAGATGCATTGGAATACAATTTCTGATGTAAGTGGAAACTATGGTTTCTCACTACATGAATGTGCATTCCTCCTCTTGGATGCATGCAAGGTGGAGACCAGAGGCTTTCATTTCCACAGTTCTCTGTGACATCTAAAACTGAACTGTGGTTAATGAGAACAAGCCTGGACCTAACCATTGCTTTCCATTATGTCTGAACTGGGCCTGTGATTTGTTCATTATTATGCTTGATGGTAAATGACTAAATATTTTAGTAATCTGAGAAACAGTGATGTGTGTGATCTGGACAGAAATTTGTGTTCCGGAATATGATGGTAAAGCCCAACAACCAAGGATATGCATTTGAGTGGGTCACACAGTATATTTTTTAATAAAGCAAACCTCAAAATATATCCAGAGGCAGACTTTGGAATTTTGAGGCCCACGGGATATCCCATGATACATTCAGTCCATTAATCACTTGATCTGCTGAGAGTTTCTCTAGGGAAATATGCTTTGCATATGGTTAGAAATGGACAGATTGTCTATTTCTGATCCATTTCAGTTTCATGTATGTTCATTGATAACTAATTCTTGTTTTCCCATGAATCGATGAGCTTTTTTTAAAACAACACAAACCCTCACATAATTCCTAATAAATATTCATTAATTTCAGCTGTTCAGTGTTAGCCAAAGACCTTACCGTATTAAGACAAGACTGATTACAGCTTGTCATCGAGTCTAGCCATCTCATTCAACTGAAGTCAGAATGGGTGCAGCACTTGTTCTGGATTGGGAACCTCATAAATTCTATTTAGAAAGGGTGGCAGATGTTAAAAAGAAGAGACATCCATCCTTATATCATTCTAGCTGTCCTCAAGAACGTAGGGCTACTCTACAAAGATGGCTTAAAAGTAGCGGGCGATGTTTCGCTACCTTGAGTTACTGTGAATTCCTTGAGAAAATTGTATCCCATGGTAGCTTTCTTGGATTGATATACCCCTTGGAGGAGTTCTGTAGAGGAGCAACCTGGGTATCTTTTTGCATGTTCACTGAAACCCTGTTCATGCATTTTTGCATGGACTTGTGCAGAGAGTCCAATCTCCAACTTCTTTGGTTATGGCAGCTTTACCCCCAACCACCCAGGGTTCCAAACCATGAAGGGAAGTCTAAATGTATTCAGCTGAATGCACCTAGATTCCCTATTCAAACCTTCCTGCTCTACACATGAATGCACGGGTGGAGCCAGCATGCACTGGGTCTCTCAACATGGTGAATCCTTTTTCCTCCATGAGTGCAGCCTTTAGGGAAGCTAATTCCTTGATATTTGCCCAGACCCAGACTATAGGCTTGATGAGCGGTTGTTTTTTTTTTTTATTTTAAAGGATGATTGCAACAAATACTTAAACAATCTTAGCTGTGATCATTTGGAATGATTAATGTTTTCATTTTTCAGACAAACCTAATGGCTATGAATTCAACAGAGAGTTAGGAGCTCCTAATCTCATTGATTGTGCTCAGTTATTCTGTTACACCAGGAATGTATTTTGTAATTCTTTTGGCAAGGAATTTGTTTTACAACATATATGTAGCTCTGAACTTCCTATGCACTGGAATAATTTATAGGGAGAGAAAGAAAGGAAGAGAAAGAAAAGGTGCTGTGTCTGGTTTTCAGGAAGCAAATGGAGATGAAAGAGAATATAACTTTTTTACACAATTTTATATTTTAAAAATACGTAATGCATGCTGTGGGCTTCTTTTAAAATCTGGTTTCTTCCCACTTAATTTCCTTTTTGAATGCACTTCTAATTCTATTTGTGATTATTTTACTGTAGTCAAATGTTTTATCTAGCCAGGCATTGCATAATTTTACTTGACTTTCTTCTCTTTTCTTTTACGTTTCTAGTTGTTTCCACATGTATAAGATGTTTGAGAATGATGCAGTCTAGCCATAAATGAGGAATAGGAGCCCACTCAGCCAAAGCACTGCATGGTTTCTTTGGAATGCTTTCCAGCTACTTCTATCTTGTCTCAGCTTCCTGCCTCCTTTGTCTTTTTCCTCAAGCCTACCCTAACTTCACTTGCTCCTTCTCTTGCCTTTTCTGCATCCTTCCTTCAATCTTCTCTCTGGCCTTTCCCATTACATTAGCTTCTCTTTGTTTTCTCAGTGGTCCTCCTGCTCCTGTGTGGGGTTTAAATTGCAAATGCGTGTATGTGTATGCACATACGCACAGGGGGACGAAGCCTCCACCAAACACTATATGCCTCTCTTTCCTATGCACAAATCTGCTCATAATTGCAGACAGCACAGTGTGGCTTATGGTAGCCACGTTCAAAGCCATATGGTGGAATTAAAAGCATGTTACCTGAGGGTAACTCTTCAGGACTGAATCCAGTGTCTTGTTCCACTCATGAATGGGGCTCTCCTGTCTTCTGCACCGTCCACTCTCTGTGAATCTGCTCCGATGTGTCCCCCAATCATCTAAAGCAGATGTTGGGGGGGCTTATAGGGAGGGCATGGGGGTAGGAGAGGAAGAGGAAGTCCAGAAGTGCGAATGGAATTCCATTGGATACAATGCTAAGACTGCTGGGCCATTGGTTGGACTGTGCCCAAGTTTTTTTAATGGCTAATTCTTCCAATGCAGAAGAGAATTGAGTAAGAAAGTTTGAAGAGCAGCAGACTAGACATGTCATCAATAGTAGTGATAGCAGATGAAGGGATTGGTGTTAAGATATAGCTAACAACAAGAGCAGATATGGTGGTCTGAGTACTAGCCAAGGAAAGATTTTAAGGATATTTATTTTCTCCGAAGACTCTTTAAGTTTTTGAACAGAGATCAGATACATAAAATGGCACGTTTGAGTTTCTGTTTAAAAGTAGTGTTTATCCCTGTTGCTCTTGCAGAAAACTTCTGTACAGAGAAAAGAAAGATATATTGGAGATGTGTGTCCTGTTGAATAGGGTTAATTCTACAAAGGACTTCCCCAATGGCTATTTTCCCCTTAAGCCAGTGAATCATGAATTATTCCATACAATTTATTCTAACACTCCCAGAGAGTGGCACTTTTCCCATTTGTAGTGCTTCCAAAGATCCTGTTTCCCTTGGTGGTTTAACAATTGCATGAAAAATCTGTTTTGTATTAGCGTTTGATTAGAGACAGGCATTCCTTATCATTTCAGTTAATGCAACCCTTGCAAAATTTGTATTTTTTAATGACATGGATTGAATTTAACAAGTTTTGTGGCAAGGCCTAAAAGATAGGCCTGATCTTTTGATCACCCAGAAATATTACCCTGACAATTAAGGTAACGTCTGCCTTTCCAATCAACCGCATACAGTACATTGGCTGTTAACTTACTTGGGCTATGAATCTGTGTGTTGCATGTAAAGAATTCATTTAGTGGCTTTCTAAAACAATTCCAGAACTCAGGATGGTTTAAGTGTGAAGCAAACTCTTAAAAGGGGGTTTGAATGCCTTTCTTGAACATCTTCCTTTGGGCCCAAGCCAGCCCTGTCACTTAAAATGAATGCAAGTTAGGAAAGAGAGTAAACTATACCCGGAAAGCAAAGGAAAAACTCAATTTTGTAGGCCCTTCTGGGGTTGAACAGACATTAAGTAGCCTTTGCAGCTGCTGGTAAGTGATATTTGAATAGGAAAACAAGGCTGAGGGGAAACTACTTTTATTTTAGCAGCCTCTAAATTGTGCAGGGCATTTCTCAATGTTCCATATATTAATCATTAACTTTACTATGCTTGCTTCGGAGATTCACCCAGATATTCCAGATGTGTCATTTATTGGTGAGTCATAGGAAAGTGGCTGAATTCAGAGAGGCTTGATCCAGATACCTCTCCAACTGGGGCTGCTCTGCCAAAAAAACTTAGGATAAAGCCTAATTCCCATAGGTGATAATAGGCTGCAGCATTTCTTCTGCTCGTTTCCAGGGCTTGCTTCATTCTGCCTTCTTGCCATCTTATTTGCCCTTATCAGAGATAGTCAACTTGGTGCCCTCCAGATGTTGGACTACAATCTGCCACAACCAATGTTGGCAGTGGTTGTAGTTTCCTACCATCTGCAGGGGCGCCATATTGGCTTCAGAACAAATGCCAGATGTGTATTGTTCAAGAACGAGTGACTGAATGCCTTGCCTAGTGCCCATGTGAAACTCCCTTCAGGAGATAATCTCCTCTCTAAGGCAACCTTTGTCAAGCCTCCAATAGAGCTTGCACGCACAAATCTGTGGATTTAGGACACTGATCAAACACTGATATTAGAAGTGGAACAGGACAAGACATTTCTGACCTGCTCCTAAAATTATTAGGTACCAATAATTTCAACAACTACAATATAGATAAATGAGGATCCTTTACTAGGGGTAGAGTTGGCACACCAGTCAGTTGACCTGTCAAATATAATTTGGCTGTGGCCACCCACTGTCAAGAATTCCATGAAGCCAAGAATACTATGTGTAGGTGGTGGTGGACTAGCTTTGACAAGCATCACTATGGTGTCATTAGTTAGCAAGGGCAGGAGTGAGACTAGTTTGTGTCCAGGAACTGTGGCTGGTGGTGCCATACCAAGCATGGCAGCATGGCAAAGGTTCTTCTACTGGGGCTTTGCTTTTACCTCAGGCATCTCCACAAACAAGCACAGAAACAGTCACCACTGGAAAGGTCACACTAGCAAGGGCCACCCATACTGTTTTGAATCTGACTTCTATTTATTTAAATAACTGTTATCCCTAGTTTTATTTCTGTTTAAAGTTCTTCTTTAAAATAAACAGTTGTAACTATAGGCTGACCTGGATATTCCTCAATAAAAGTCAAATAGAGTAGCTGTTGAGTACACTGTTTGTATTTACAGAAACATTTACCTAACATTGTAGTAATTCATTCTGATTTTTTCGAAACTTGGTTTCATCGTTTCACAGTAGCTGCTAATTTGATTTTTTAAAAAATAGCATCAGTATAAAAACTGTTGGTGGTTGAAGTATCTCTGCTTGTTTTGTTCTTGTAATGTTCATGCTTTAAAAATACTGGTTCATTATTTGATAATGGGCCAGTCAAATATCCAATACTACATAGGGATTATTCATTTAACCTACACAGTTTTAGGTGGGAGGCGGGGTAGGAAGAGGGAAGAGCCCCCTGTTGCAGGATCATGTCCATCACTGGATCTCTCTGCCCATTTTCTCGGTGTCTTTCACAACCCGTTTAAGGCTCACCCCACAGTTTGAGAGCTCATGCTATGTTTGAAACTTTCATTGTTGATCTTCTTGCCAAATGTTCCATAGTCTGGTTATTCTCCTGCCAGCCTTCTGTGTATCAAGGAAGAGATATTGTGTAACTAGGAAATTTAATTTTGAAGGAAAAAGTAAATGTGTCTGGCCTGTTAATAAAATCCATCCAGATGATGACTGATTCTTCCATCACTTGTTCTTCATACAAATGTTTATACCAACAGCATCAGCCTTCTTTGCGCATTATCCAAATGGGGATATTGAGGAGGGCAGTGGGAACAAACATATTGGTTTTGCCCCCTTCCACCTTGCATCTTTGTTAGTTGCTGAATCATGGAAGATACGTAACAATAGGCAGGTGGGGAGCTGGTTGTATCCATGGAAGATCCCTACACATTTTGGAACATTCCACAAACTGGAATTATGAAAGTGGGATGGAGGGGTCAGAGGTATTGTCCCTGGTGATTCTCTTCATGTCTTTACTTCTCCACTTGGATACTTCCTTGAAGCGGCTACATAGAAGATTCAAAAAGGACAACTTGTTTCGGTGTGTGTGTGTGTGTTACCTCACTTTTTGAAGGTGAATTTCACTATTTTGCTGTTGCTGCTGGTGACGCCGCATTTATCCTAAACCAGCTATCAGAATTACAATAATTTCTCAGAAAACTAAAGCTAATGAATGAATGAAAAACACTTGGGTTTAAGCCTATTGGCTATGACTCCATCTAAAATCAAAATAATGTAAGTCACATTTAATACCATGTTGTGGTGTTCATGGATTACAGGATATTGGGGCAGGATCAATTTTGGGAGAATGTTGGAACTATGAAAAACCTTGAATTAAGAAAATGAAAAATCTCTGTTGTTGCTCTTTTTGTCCATGTAGTGGTGAATCAGCCAGAAAATACTTATGGATTAATTTACAAAGTGTTGCCTGGGCCTCATTTTTTAGAACATCTCACTTGGGTTTGTTCAGTCTTCACTGGCTACCAGATAATTTGTGAATTCAGTTCATGGCACTGGCTTTTAAATCTAATGCTCTGGTTTGAGTCCAAGCTTTTTTTTGAAGGAACTCCTTTTTCCTCATGAGCCTGCCAAGACCCTGCCTGCTCCTTTGCCACCAGAAACCTGGTCTCTTAAAATGCAGAACAGGGAATTTTTGGTTGTGGAACCCAGATTGTGGATCTTCTTGCCCAGGAGCAGATGACATGGTGGAGCTGTGCTGCTCTCCTGACCTTTCTCTGGCACAGTCACTGCTGCATCTGGCAGGAGCACTGAGTTGGCTTGATTGGCAGTTTTGCACTGTGCCAGCCTTGCCATTGCCTCTTCCCTCTGCCCTCTGCCTGGTATGCTGCAGTGAATTAGCCAGAGGACAGTCAGATGGGCAGCACAGTTCCACCCCACTGTCCACTGTTGTCCTTACCTCAGCAGGTCCTGATTGGCTTTTTGCGATTATGTTAAGAACTTGTTTTTCATTTTTGCCAAGCCTTGGGTTGGTTTAAGATTTTCATCCAGGGCTACTGTTAGTTATTTTTAGTTGTTTTTGGTTTAAAGGTCTGTTTCTGTTTATTATTTTCACATTGTGTTACATTTTTTAACTTGGTTATGAGGTGCTTTGGGGCCCCATGGAGGGCTGAAAGGCAGGATATATTTTGTTGAAGAAAATTATAAATAAAAAATGTGCAATGGGGGAGAAATGGAGAGTCCTGGGCCCTTCAGTATAACATGCAGATGGGCCTGTTGATGTACTGTTGTTGGTCATGTTTATTTGTCCTGTATCAGTCATGCTCTCTGTAAGAATAATTGCTGTAGCATTGATTCTGTGTTTGCTTACCATACACCCCCCCCAATCTTACCACCACGTTCCTACAACTGATGAAGTGGACTCTAGTCCATGAAAGCTTGTTGCATAATACAGTTTGTTAGCCTTTAATGTGCCACATGGCTTTTGTTGATTTTTGTTTACTTTTTACTTTTTATTTTTTACTTTGCTCTGAAGCGCATTTTAGTTTTCTTTTCTTTCCCTGGCAAAGGCAGCTAGACAAAATGTGTTTTCACCTTACTTAGCTCAATTCATGGGCATGAAGCCCAGTTGCTATTGTATTTGGAAGAGTCAACATCAAGAAATTCTGCACCACGCCGAGATTTCTTGAATTGTTGGAGTTCCCAGCTTCAATTTATATTTCGAACTCATAGTTTCATATAATGCTTTGCAGCATCTCTCTGCAGTAATTGGTTTGTTTGTTTGTTTGTTTATATTTAGCCTGCAACATTTCGGGTGGAATTCAGTGTTGCACTGTTCCATTCGTTACACCTGTGCAAACATTCTAGCTTGCCAGACGGAATGATAGCTCTCCTTCCCCCCACTATGTTCTGGGGGGTGCTCTCAAAAAAGCCAATTTTTTTGGGGGGGGACCCAGAGGTCCATGCACAGGGCTTCTGCTGATGGGCTGGTTAGATCAAACTCTGCCTTTTGCATTTGGGTCCAGTCCAGAAAGGATAGCCTGTTCAAAGAACCAGTTTGCCATTCCAGATTGAACCTTCGTATACATTACTGTGCTTGACGTGCTGAAAAGTCCACAACTCAGCACTAGGGTATGTGTATGTTAATCACTCTGGTTTAGTTTCCATCCATACAATAGACACAGTAGTGACCTACCTCACAGGGTTGTGAGGGTCAACACAATAGAAACTGGGAAATGCTTTGCAAATTTGCTCTAGAAACAATTCTCAATGCTTGTAGCAATCTATCTATGTTGCCAATATATAACAATACAGATATTTGAATCTCCCCCCCCCCAAAAAAAGTTGTGCTGTTGACGGTGTGGGTCTTTGCTCATGTTGTTCCATAGCTAAATGTCAAAACTCTCACTAGTAGCGTCATTCCAATCCTGTTAGGTCTTGCTACTAACTTCTGAATACAGTGCTTGTTGCTGCTGAGGTCGGTGAGGCTTGCTCCCTCTTCAGTGTGCTTAAAATTACAGACATTTGAAAAGCCATTTCCCTCAGTGTTTTTATAATTACCACCTAATGGGATAGGCTATGTCCAGGTCACAAGATCAACATGTGCCCTTCCAGTACAGGACAATTCTTGGCAAGCAGGTCACGTGACACGTTCACAACAAGCAGGATCAGTTTTGCATGTTGTCATTTCAACAGGGCTTTGCGGTAATGATGGCAGCTTCCGCTTGTCAGTCAGTCAGTTTTATTGCACATAGCCAAAGGCTGCCACAATGTACACGGAATCATTCAACAATTAAAAGAAAATCTACTGGATTGATACAGAAAACTTAAAACATTTATAGAATCATAGAATCATAGAGTTGGAAGAGACCACAAGGGCCATCGAGTCCAACCCCCTGCCAAGCAGGAAACACCATCAGAGCACTCCTGACATATGGTTGTCAAGCCTCTGCTTAAAGACCTCCAAAGAAGGAGACTCCACCACACTCCTTGGCAGCAAATTCCACTGTTGAACAGCTCTTACTGTCAGGAAGTTTTTCCTAATGTTTAGGTGGCATCTTCTTTCTTGTAGTTATATTATCTAGACGTTACCTACTCTAAACAGAGCTATAAAAGTACCTTAATATACAGGTTAAGACAATAAACAATAAAATTTATAGGCTAAAATTATCACATGGCCGCTAATATATTAAAAAATAATGTTAATTAATACAATGTACAATTATATTCGGAGTTTGGTGATAAAGCTAGAATATAGCTTGATGTAGATAGGGTCAAATAAATTCATCTCCTTTACATTGGTGGCTACCTTGGCTATATAATTTGCTCTAATTTTCCTAGCGGCAGTTGCAAAGAGTGTTACACACCAGGTCACATACTTATCTGTGTCTGCAAGGAGATATAAAACAAGCCATGTGACCGGCTCACTTGTGGCCTGATCCAAATTATGGTAGCTGCCATGTGTCTTGGTGGTCATTTGAATGAGTCACTAGAAATACAGTGTGGGGAGATAGTTCAGGGCAATATTGCCATACCAAAAAGAAGCATTATAATCAGGTAGTAGAGACACTGAGTACTTTTCTCAGTATTCCCCTGCCAGTGTTCTTTGGTGTAGGAGGGAAGGGTCACAACGCATCCCCCAGTTACAGTGGGGGTGGGAAATGGGAATGAAAATGAAAATCCTCACAGGAGCAAGACAGGAATAACTGTCTTGTTTCTCAGAAATTTTCCAAATAGAAAAGTAAAAGATGACTAACCTAGCCACAACCGGAGCTTCAGATAAACCAGCTGTTTTTTAGATTTATTTTTTTAAAAAATATATTCTCCTCCAGGCCAGTATTTCAAAAAATGAAAAGGAAGTTTCATACAAAAAAACAAGAAGCTTACTGGTAGCGGGCTTTCTGAAACCAAGAAAACAAACAAAATGCCATATACACAGAGATAAAACATTCATAAAATAAAATCCAATATAGCATTTGATAGAAGTGATATTTAATGCCAAAGGACTGAACCAATTTTAAAGTGGGTAGTATAACTTGATAGGTTAGAAGCAGAAGATACAAACTGTTCAGCAAAGTAAAGTCTAGGCAAGAATATTAATACACCTGTAGTTGGTGATGCGGAAATTAGAGATTTCAAATGCTATATTCTATATGCATTGTCAATCATTCTGGGCTGGTTCGTATGTACACAGTTCAAGAATCTTGTCAATTCACTGAGTGAGTGTGTACCCTGCCTTCTCATCATAAGGAGCAATGTGCAAAGTTGTCAGGATGCACAAGTTTATGATCAAGTGTGATTTTTCTGCTTGAAAATTGTGATGGACTAAGCAAATTTTGGGGTGCATACACACACAAATGTATCTTGCACCTCATGTTGCCTCATATGCATGATGGAAGGTGCGTGCTTGCCTGTTTCCATACCCGTATCTATGGGAACCCTGCACAGTAAATGTGTAAGCAGCCCTAAGTGACAACCTTAAATAATGTTGCTTCATTAACTTTCAAAATGTTTCAACTTCTTTTCAAGGGAATGCCTGGGATCCCTGGAGTTCAAGGAATAAAGGGAGAAAAGGTATTCATAAAGATATAAAATTATAATACAGCAATTTTTACACACACACACACACACACACACACACACAAAAACACGCGCACACACACACACACACACACACACACACACACATATATTCTGTGACTGCATAAACTCTTTGGGTGGGGTCCCTGATGCCCCTTTCACTGATGGAAGACATCTGTCAATGGATGGGGAGGGCGAGATCCCTGAAACAGCAGGCAAGGTGTTGGGGAGAGGAGAGATTGTGCTGATATAACAATCTCCTTAGCACTATGCTGAATTCAGCACTATGCTGAATTCTAGCTCTTACCAGGGATGCAGTCTAGTTTATATCCTTTAGTTTTAAAAGGTAATCGTGGGTTGTCACTGGTGTAGATGTAAAATGGGGTATTCTTTGGAATTCATATTACAAATACTGAATTTATTTGAAATTTGTTCTTGCATTTTAGGGTGAAATTGGACCACCAGGACATGAAGGAACTAAAGGATCACCAGGGACACCTGTATGTCTGTGGTATTGTATTTTAACAGTTTTTTTAAAGTTAAAAAATAGAATTATGGAATCAATAAGTTCATAAGACTGAATTAAGCAAAGGGACAAATGTACAGTATGGACTTGATAATCAAATCGACTTCGTTGATCATATTATTACTGCAGAAAATACAAACAATATTCAGTTTGTTAAAAAAAAAAGTCAAGTGTTACAGTCCATTGAATATAACTGCACTAAATCAAGCCTCAAGAATTAGAAACTTTAGGTCAATACTGTAAGCACACCATTCTGAATTGCATTACATTTACAGTGAGTATTGTGTGTAAACTTCCCCTAAAAAGGGTAAGCTGTCTGGTATCCCAAAGATCCTTCAAAAGGCTTGCGTGTGAGCTTTCAAGAGGACAAATGTCACCCATTTATTTGGGAACTTGAAAGCGATTGTTTCCAGTTTATTAAGCTCTTTTATAACTACGAGGCGCCTCTGTTCTGATCTGGTAATAACTTCCACAAATGATCTCTTTTCCAGAGTGGATGGTATTAATTTTCAGCAGATGCTAGGCCTCATCAGTGTAGTTTAGAACTGATGGCAAGTGGTGCATCTTTCATTTTGTTGGTGGAGATGGTTTTGGAGGAGCTGGAGCTTTAGTCAGCTTTACAACTTGTGAATATGACTTCTGTTTGAATTACTCATACGAGAGACTTAATCAGCTGAAACCTTGATATATATAATATGGCACTAAGAGATTGCTGTTGCGAGTATTGGAGACAGTGGCCTGGCGCAGACATCTTGCTGGCCACCTCCCAGCCTTGGTCAGCAGATGGAGCTGGGAAGCGTGCTGTGTGTGTGTTTATATGCTCTCTCTTCCGCTTGAAAATCACTCCAAGTCTTCTTTGCTTAGAGTTATATTGTTATGCATTATATTTGCACTGCTCCTAGCTCTCACTGGGGATGCCGTCTACTTTATATCCTTTAGTTTTAAAAGGTAATTGTGGGTTGTCACTGGTGTAGATGTAAGGAGGAGAAAATTCATGAAAGAAGAGGGGCAGGAGAGCAAGCTTGTGAGCTTGTGGCATGCTCCTAATCTCCTCATGTATTTAGGTTGCTAGCATTAACTCTGCACCAAGCCAATAAGGAAGCCAAATGGAGTGTAGGCTCTTGTGTGTGCTCTGGAGCACAAACAGGAACTTTGCATCAGAATGACAAAATTAGTTCACACGTGGATTGGAATTAAATTCTGCTCACAAGTGTGGAAAGCTATGAGAAACAACCTAAGGCTTGCAAATTTATCCATCCATCCATCCATTCATCCTGCAACTCTTTCCATATAACATTGTCCATGCATGTTGCAGCAACTTGCCTGTCAACCTTTATTTTCCTGGAGAAAAATAGGAACAGTTTTCAGTAGTAAATAACGTTGAAGTCATGTATGTAGGCTGTTATGAGTTGGTGGAGGGTGGCAGACACCTCTAATCTCTGGATCCAACAAAGGTTAAAAGCTAATCAAGACTTCTAATTCTGGGAAATAGCCAAGCTAGCTTCCTGGTGAGGTGATGGGGGATTAAGGGGCTTGGTGCAAGAAGGGAGATGGGTGGGGGCCCTTTCCTCAACAGATGAAGTCAGTTGCAAAATTTAAAGTAGCAGTGATGTGAGCCAGTGGAAAGGCAGTAAACTGGATTAAGAGTCAGAGAGCAATGTTTGATGTCTGTTTGAATCCAAGGCTGTGGCAATGGGAGATGCTGTGAACCCCTCCATCGCAGGCTCAGGTTGTATTAATGCATAAATAAGCCAAATATCATAGAGACACTCTGCCCTGCCTTATTCCCAAAGGAAACACAAACCCTGGGTAAGCTGCTGGAAACAATCCCTGGAATCTCACACTGCTTGGAGATTGGGGTAGCATGCAACATGGACCTTAAATATCCCACAAGTTTTATATTGTTTTATTATTGTTAGTAATTGCTGTTTGAAAGCTTTGCATTGCCTGTGTTCCAGGTTTAGATCTGCCCTGTGCTGTTTTGTTCCAATATAATTTCTATTTTCCTAATGTCTTAACTGACAGCTATTCTGGTTCCTATAATTTTGTGGGATTCATTTCCTGGAGGATTCATTACTATTTTTATTACCAATTTAATTACCGAACCATTTCATTTAATTACCAGTTTATTCCCATTTTATTCTGTCTCTATTTCCCTTTTAAACATAGATGTACTCTCAATGCATGGAATATTTGAATATTGTGAGTGCCACAAAGGAAAATTGACCAAAATATAGAGTTGGTTTTTCCTTCTATTAGTCACACAGTTTGTTCCAGAAAAGAACAGATGGAAATCCTGTTGACAGTTTATATGTAATACATTAGGGAAATTCAGTAATAAATTATTATTAAGTAACAATTATCCTCATTATGGTTGCCAGTTTCAATAATTTATTGATTTATCTGCCACAATATTGGAAAAGGAAGCAGTGATGGCTAAATTATTTTGTTTTTACTCAAGTGGAAGCCTTACATATGAAATCTGTTAAGTGATGAAACAACAATTTAATACATTTTATCTTATTTATTAAATTGTTGTTTCATCACTTAAGATTTCATATGTAAGGTTTCCACATACTCTGCAAGTAAAAGGTTTTTAGTAAAGTTGAATTTTCTCTTTAAAAAGTATAGAGAGCTACCTCTTATGACCTTGCAAAACTCACAGGGAGATCCTTATTTCAATTCCTTGTACTTCAATTGTGTGATAGAAGGCAGAAGTGCTCAACACCTACTTAGCCACTGTCTTGACCCAAAAGGAAAGCAGTACCCAGCCTGGGGATAACAGAATAAATGATGCAAGGAGGGAACTGCAGCCCAAGATAGCAAGAGGTGGTAAAGGAACACCTAGCTACTTTAAACAAAACTCGTATCTCCAGGGACTGATGAGCTGCACCCAAAGATACTAAAGGAGCTTGCAGATGTAATCTGAGAGCCTCTTTCTATAATCTTTGAGAGGTCCCTGCAGACTGGAGGTGTGCACATATTGTCTCCATCTTTTTTAAAAAAAGTGGGGGGGGGGGAGGGGAGAAGACCCAGGTAACTTCAGACCAGTCAGCTTGACATTAATACCAGGAAAGGTTCTGGAACAAATTGAACAATCTGTGAGCATGTGTTACTCAAAAACAAGTCATGTGAGACGAAACTCATCCCCCTCCCCGATAGAGTTACAAACTTGCTGGATCAGGGGAATGCTGTGGATGTAGTGTATATTGATTTCTGTGAGGCTTTTGACAAAATCCCCCATGATATGCTTGCGAGTAAGTGGGTAAAATGTGAGCTGTATGAGGTAACCGTTAGGTGGATTTGTAGATGGTTGACTGACCGAACCCAGAGTGTGCTTACTAATGGTTCCTCATCATCCTGGAAAAAGGGGACAAGTAGGGTGCTGCAGGGTTCTGCCCTGGGCCCATTGTTGTTCATTGTCTTTATAAACAGCTTGAATGAAGGAATTGAGATGATGTGCATCAAATTTGCAAATGACACCAAACTGGGAGGGGTAGAAGATAGAATCGAGATTCAAAATGACCTTAACAGATTGCAGAACTGGGGCCAAACTAACAGAATGAAATACAATAGAGACAAATGTTAGATCCTGCATTTAGGCAGAGAGAACCAGCTGCACAAATATAAGATGAGGGACACCTGGCTTACTAGTAGTACATGTGGAAAAGACCTAGGGGTCTTAGTGGACCATAAGCTTAACACGAGTCAACAGTGTGATGCAGCAGCTAAAAAAGCTAACACTGTTCTAGGCTGCATCAACAGAAGCCAAGTGTTCCAGTCAAGGGAAGCACCTCTCTATTCTGCCTCTCCAATTCTATGATTCTATGAAGTATATGCTTAATTCTGTCCCTAAATTTTAAGATCAAGACACAGCTTGCATATCTATTAAGATTTGACTGGGCAGGTTCTCCCTCTGATATTTACTGGAGACTTTTATTTCTGTTTCTTAGGGTCTTCCTGGACCTGAAGGATCATTGGGTTTACCTGGAGGGCCTGGGCCGAAGGTATGCTGTATGCCTCTAGGCTGAATGTTTAATGCCTTGGGATTTTAGCTTTTGCAGACATCAATTTTAAGAAAGTGAGAGGGAATTAAAACATATAAGGAGCTCTATATGCTGTGTAAGCATATTGAGCTTAGTCTTTGGGAACAAAGTTCTGGAAAACTTGGCGACATCAGTAAATTAATGTGAGAAACGAATGCTTCTTTGGACACTTTATTGTAGCTTACGGTGGAAACAATAGAAAAATCCTTCCCACATTAATTGCATGAAGGGCTCCATGCACAAAAAGGGGTTGCGAGGCCTCACTTCTAGCCATACCCTTGAGGTCACATGACTCCTTGGGGCTGCCTCCTGATGTTCACATATTAATCATGTACAGCCCAGCTGACACAATCTGCACAGGGAAGCTTGTCTGATCAGGGTACCAGCTCCTGGGCAGTCTGTGGTTTTCCCAAATCAGCATCTATGTTCATTTCCATGACCAGTAGCAGTTGGTGGGATGGTTGGCGTACCATTGCTCACCTGGCTTCCCAGTGCTGAGCTTTGCTGCCGGTTACTGAGAGCACTCAAGAAGAGGTGGCAGGGAGGCAACAGATTGGCTTAAACACTTTGCTTACATTCTTCTGAGCTCCCCATCACCTCAGTTGCTTGTCTCCCTAACTGGCAGTGACACTCGGTGTTGGGAAGCCAGGTGAGCAGCCCCACCTTGCTAGCCACTACTGGCCATGATGACCCAGGAATGATGACATGGCGGAAGATTCTGATGAGAACAAAATTCAGGCTGTTTTCTCAGGGGAAGAACCACCAAGTACATTTTAGAGGTCCTTCTGATCAGAAGACAAAACCCTGCCATCATCCTCTGCTCAGATGATAAATTCTCTGTAGTACTTTTGTCTCCCTAGCCTCATAGTGTCAAGGACTGAAAAATGAGGCAAGGGCCCATTAACCTATAGGCAGTTCCTCCAGGTAGACAGACAGCTTCTACCACATTCCAGGCCTTGTCGACCTATATAAGGCTTCAATTTTGTCTGGCTCCCTGCTGAGGAAGAGAATATTTCAGCCACTAGGTAGCTCTTTGAGCTCTTCAAGATCCTGATATTCTCTGTCCTCTATTTCCCCCTACTTCCTATTCTTTCTGAAAAGAAAAGTTAATAACTTTTTAAAACAAAAGACTACAAATAATGAATTACCAACACATAAGAGAAATCCCCAGAATTGAAACAAAACAGTTCTATTTACTATTTAGTTGGCTAGTTTAACATGACATTGCCTATATCCCTTGCGAGCCTCAAACTCCCACAGAACTGGATAGTGGGTGGGACTAGGAAACCACATGACTTTGGGTCATGGCTTGGGGCTTGCTGACTCTCACAGTATGTGAGCCCCCTTTTATTAATTAATGTGTGAACTTTGGCTATTCATTCTTCATTCTCTCACACACAAATGTACTCAGTCACACATATTCAAACCACTCAGTTCTCACCATTTTGCTACATTTTTTTGCTGTTGGAGATTTCCAAAAGGACCTAGCTCCACAACCATGTTAAAATGAATTGTGTCACTGTTCAGCCTTATTATATGTGGGGGAAGTAGAACTACTTACAGTTCAGAATTCAAAACCTTCAAATTTCTGCCTAGTTTCAGCCACAGTTTGACAGGTATTTTTTTTCTTGTAAGTTAACTGTTTATGTAGGTGGTTCTCTTCCCAAGTGACTTCAATGATTGCTTCATCAGCCTGTCAAAATCATTATATTCACAGGGTGGCAAAGGTGAACAAGGGCCGCAAGGGAAATCAGGAGTGCCAGGTATTAAGGTAAATGTGGCTAAGTTTCAATTTGTAATGATATCATCTTTGTGTTGAGAGCATCAATATAATGTTGTTCCGTACGAAAACTCAACTAGTGACTAATAGAAAAATTAATATTCTTGGTCTAAATCACAATATAAGCCTGCCCAGATTAGTTGATGAACTAACTTTCATGTAGTAGTTGGGAACTTGATCCATGGATTACACTATGATTGTGATCCAGTGGCTTATCCTTCCAGGCATGAAAGAGGAGGAGGGGAGAGCACAGGAACCCACGGTATGGTGTAGCTTGTGCTCAAAGCCAGAAACCATGGTTTCCTGCGTTGGTCCATTTCACATTTAACTGTAAGCCAAACAAACAAATGTGTGGGTTGTTGGAGAAAAGATCACCTCTGTTTTGCTCTTCCTCCAGACCTGCTGCTGTTGAGATCAGCCATTGTTTGGTTTAGCATTACATCTCAACCTGACCTCATGGAATGAGACAATCCATGAGCCTTGGTTCAGACATAATATTAAGCCAAACCATAGCTTAGCTCACAAACGGCATGGTAGCAGCAGGAACAGAGGAGTAACAAAGTGGCTGTGATCTTTTTTCCAGCAACCCACATATTTGCTTGCTTGTGCCAATACATGGTTTGGGTTAGCATTATGTGTGAACTGGGTCTATGTCTTAACAGTCCTTTGTTCTGACATGTATAAACACCTATTCAGTCAATCAACATGGTTGTCTGTGTTGTTGTTTTTTTTAAAAAAGAAAGATTGCAAAAACAGGTTATCTTTACAAATGTGTATTTCCAAACCACTCTTTGCTGAGACATCCCAAATGTGGAGGCTGGAGTTATATACGTAGGGGAGAATAAGAAGACGAAGGAGGTACAGAACCCTTCCTTCGCTCACCAATGGGCAGAGCTGCTCATAACTGGATTATGAAAAATAGTTCAATGTCTTTGTAAAATAGTTCAATGTTTTTCTTAATTTAGATTAGTATTTTCAGTGGCTTAAGAAAAGCTTAACAGCAAAGCAAAATATTGGTGATTTTTCTTTGGTACATATAGGATGGTTAAAGCAATGCATACTTTAATCATTCATTATATAATCTCAGATTTATAGAGCTGTTGTATTATTCAGGGAGAACAAGGGAGACCAGGTACTTCAGGTGAACCAGGCTATCCCGGGATACCTGGCACACGGGGTTTAAAGGTATGTCTGCTGCTGTTTAAAACACTGTGATATATGGAATAACTGCTAAGTGGTTTATGTTTTACAAGCACCCTGATAAGAGTAATGCATGGTAATCACCGTTAACTATGAGAACTAGATAACAATCACCCCCATTCAGGATCACAATTTCTGAGTCTGTTGCCAGTTTCCATGCTTGTTCTGCTAACTTGTATTAATGAAAAATAGACACAATCCTAACTATACCTCTTACTCTCTGGCAATACACTTCCTTAGTTCCTGTCAGTTCTTTCAAAAGAAGATACAAGAAGAATCAAGGACTGGATTATATATGGTTTATAATCAAAGACTGTGAGATACATGCCAATGGGTTAATTTTCACAGTTTATTTTATTATAGATTTATTTCATAAAATTTATACACTGCTTGATTGTGGGGGGGGGGGGACCCTCAAAGCTGTTTACAAAAGGTAAAGCAGTAAAATCAAGGAAAATTTACAACCATAGTTCAAAAGATACAAAATACTAAAACAGATTAAAATTACCTCAACATTCTAAGAATCTGGGTAGTCTTGTCTAAACAATAATGATTTTCATTCAAATTAATTTAAGTTTATCTGTGCTAAAGAAATGAAATAGGGACCACAGACAATTAAATTAAAAGTTTTTCTTTATTATATAACAGCTAGTAAAATTAAATGACATATTTAGAAAACATAACTTTTTTGGGGGGGAGGATGATGACAGCATTATGCGTTCCCCCAATTTTATAAATGATACATGTGTTTTACTATCTACAATATTACTGACATTTTGTGTTTTACTCTTATTCATACTTTATAAAAAAAACATTGACCCATAGAAATCAGTGCATTAAGAGGACAAGGATCAAAGAGAAGCACAATTGATTATTATTTTATTACAAAGAAACAGATAGAGGGGAAATTACTGACTGAGATTCTAGATGAAAGTTGTCCATTCTTGGACAGTTGGATTAGTGAGACTTCTAGTGGCCATTATGTGCATGAGATTGCACAGTGCCTTGCCACAAACAGAAACACACTTACATTAAGATTTCTGTTCTCATTTTCTATCACAGGGATCTTGTGTAGTTGGAAAAAGCCTCTGTGGCTGACAGTTTGATGTTTTGTGACTCTAGTGTAGTTACATATATTATTACTTATATATTATACTTGTGTGTTGCTTTTATTTCACCTGTGTGCATAATCATTGTAACTTACATTTCAATAGAAGTTGTTTTTTCTCTTATTTTCAGGGAGATAAAGGAAACATTGGGGAAAGAGGCATCCAGGTATAAACTTTTCAACAGTTAAAATAACTTGGAATGCCTGCTCGCTGTAGATAGTTCACTCTATATGGCATTAGTATTTTTAAATGAAAATAATTACTCTTAAAAAAATGTCAGAGCATGGTATGTCCCACAGACCAAGCAGTAGCCAATGTGGTGTCCTCCACATGTTCTTGGATTCAAACTCCCATCAGCTCCTCAGCTATAATGACCAATAGTGAGGGATGATGGGAGTTGTGCTTCAGCAACATCTGGAGGGCAGCATGTTCGGTACTCCTGCCACAGATCACATCAAGCATGCTGAATTTTCCTCAGCATCATGGTGCAGTCATGGTGTTTGAATAAACCTCGATATAAGTAGTCCAAAGCCTGATCTAAAGGATTAACCATATCAATCTGAAAATGAAAAGTTACAATCTTATTACAGTAATATTTTTTAACTTAAAAAATGGACGGAGACATAATTCTTTAATAACCCAGCTATGTTTGGGTTGATTTCTAAAGGAGAAATTAAGCCGCTACTACTCAAAACAAAATTTAGTTCCTAAAGGCAGTTGGGTAAAACAGGCAATTTATCTTCACCTTCATGGAATATTTGACCATTGTCAAATAACAGAAGATTGACTGAAGGACATGCCAATTCTTGATCAATGTAATGTTTTGTATGTGGTGCTGCCTTTCAAGACCAAAATATGTCATATACAGAGCTATTTTTCTAGGAAGAGAGGTGCCAGAACTCACCATGAACACCTCCCTTGTTCTCTTATAATAGCAATGGAGCCCACCTGAGAGGTACAGGAACTGAGTTCCTGTGAGTTTCCCCTGAAAGAAAAGCCACACACATCTTCAGTTTGCAATTCAAACAACTGGTTTTCATCTCTAAAGCACTAAAGCCTAGTTCCAGGACATCTGAAGGATGCTTGCCCCAAGATTACTCTGCCTATCTGCTTGATGGCATCAGAGAGTATTTTACCAGTCTTTCCACCTTTGGCAGTGAGGTTTGTGGAAAAAAGAGCGACTTTTTTTGTGGTGGTGATACATCTCCTTGGAGATGATAACACCTTTACATTTCTGATGTGTTGGTGGTTGTTTTCTACAGATAGTGGATGTATTGTATGATTTTGGCTTGTCAATTGCCAGCTGTTTTGAAGTATTGGGGGAAGGGGCATGTTAATAAATGCAAACAACACACTTTTTCATATAATTAAAATAATTATTTTGTAATGCCTCTTTTTTAAAGGGTCAGAAGGGAGAAAGTGGCAGATCAGGTACTGCAGGCCAGAAGGTAAAACTTTTTTTCTTTTGAAAAGAATTGACAAAAATTGCCTCATTACCTTCCTTTAGCAAAAGCACCTTCTGAGCAGAGTAATACTAATAGATCTGGAGCCAAACAGGGCACATATCTCTGAAATAGGGTGCCCTTCTTTCCTCTTCCTTTAAAATTACAGAGTGAGTTTGGGGAAAATGTTTTGAGCCTTTAGATAAGAGCATCAATAAATATTACATATCACTAGATGCTTGGCTAGCATGAAGCTGTGTTTTGGAGGGTATTTCTCTAGCATATGACATTTTAATACAATATTTATTTTTTATATAGTTTAGCCTTATGTTTGTAGATTTGAAACAGCATAGCAATAACTCAGCATCCGTTTATTAATATCTTCTGAAATTGTGATTCCTAAAGGGCGACACAGGATTAACTGGAGCTGAAGGACAGGTATGTGTTTGTGTTGCTGTTTTATATGCCCCGACATCTGCTCTCCCTGTCTCTTTGACTGCTTCATTTTAGCATACATTTTGTGCTGGCTGTTGGTTTTAATTTCGTTGTTAAAAATACTTTTGAGTGCTGTTTTTTTTTAAAAAGCCAATAAAAAAGCAAGATACATGCTTTCAATAAATAATAAATATGTTACCAGGTCACAACCTCTACTTTTCAGTATTATTATTTGATTGTTATTTAGGATGATTTTGAATAGTTTTTGATAATTTATCATTTGTATGCTGTGTAAGTGAATATAATATATCTGAAGGCTGTTTCAGATGGCATAATTCACATGTGCTCTGTGTTTTGCCTTTGTTTAATCTGCCCTCAGAAATATGTTCAGAACAAAAGGGATTTTTAATTTTTTTTATCAACTTAAGGATGTGTAGGGAGAAGGGAGCTTTAACATTTTCTAGAATTCATCAGGTAGAATGGAAAGGAAAAAAATGTTCAGCTATGTGCCAAGCATGCTGGCTTCCAATTGATTGCAGAAAGTTCACATTTAAAAGTAGAGAAACACATTCCTGATAGTGGGACATTGTAGACATAGCAGAAAGTAAGTGAAAAATACTAGATTTCAACAACTTTACTAACAATCCTTGTAGCTGGAAGTTAGTCAGCACCTAACGTTAATGGTGATATCCAACTAAGTCATACTCAGAGTAGATCTATTGAAATCTATGGGGTTAAGTCCATGTTCGTTATTGTCTGTAAGGTTGGAGTTAAGCGCATGTAATGGGGCTGGTGGAAGCTGATTTCCCTTTTCCTATGCTCCCCACAACAGCTTTCCTGGCCTCTGAAAATGCTCCACTGAGGGTCAGAGGACCCTCTTGAATGGGTGGTTTGTGCTGCTGGGGATTGGAAAGGGATTCTTCCAATATCAGCTGGAGACACCTTCCGTGACTGGAGCTGCCATTCGTGGCAATTGCCTCCCCCTTTCTTTTAAGTTTACAGCAGCCTTGCAATGTAGGCTAGGCTGAGAGACAGCACCGGACATCTAGGGAATGGCATAGTAGGCTTTAAACTTAGTCTGATGTTGTGTATACTCTTAAATAAATATATCCTGTGCATTATTAAGTTATGGTTTTATTTTCAGATTTTATGGTAATATTTTTTCTTGCAACTTTTAAAATATGCAGGAATCTTTTAGCACAGAGTTTTGTTTTGTTTTCAAATCAGTAACAATTTTAGCATTTTAAAAAAATGCATCTCTTTTTGTCTTGGCCATATGGTAAAGGGTCGCTAAGAAAGGTCACAAACAGGATGTTGCTAGCTATTAAAAGCCAAATAAACGCTTCTGAAAAATATACTTTCAGCAAGCTTCTTGGCAAATTCTACAAGCTGTTAGTTTTCACTCACAAGCCTCACAGTAAAAACTCTTCTTTTTGGATATAAATACAGTAGTTCTAAGACTTTTCCACACTGGCAAATGAACAGTAAAGAGGACAAAGACTGTTGGCCAGTACCAGAAAGATAACAGAATCTGTTATTATTACTGTGGTTTTTGTTTCTGCAGAAAGGTTTAAACTGTGTTAAATTTGTTTTGCCCTTTGTTATTTATGGATGCTGCACAGGGGACCAAAACGCTGACAGTCAGGGTATAAATTGCCTCCATAAATAAATAGCACTCATTTTAATAGCAAACACAGATGGTGAGTGCTGACAGGATTGCAAACAAAGTGGGAGACTTTGGATGAATCGGCATGTTCAGAAAAACTTGCAAAAGTACAAGGAAGCTTTTTTCAAAAAAAACACAAAACCCAGAAACAGAAACAAGAGTCTAATGAAGACCCGAGCATGCTCAGTAACAGTGGCATATATGGGGAAACAGAGAATGTGAGGGGTTGGAAGAGTAGAATCGCTTGTTTTCAGGGAATGACCGACTGGAACCCTGAACAGAAGCACTCCTTGTAGAAGGAAGAACATACCAAAACATTTTTTGAATGCAGGCACCACTTGTGTATACATACATTTGCATGGCTTACATCCATTTGATAAACAGTCAGTGCCAAGGGGGCTAAACTAACTAATCTGTAAGGGGCTACACTGGCCTGGTTCTCACATTACTCTTATTTGTGGTTTACTGAACCGCCTTTAACCCAAATTTGCATCTGGGGACCCATATCTTCTTTTTACCATACAATTGTATGGTGGTAGTGCTGCTATTGTCACCCACTTCAGATTAGACTATGACCCTGCAGTGGTCTCGACCTACTAGCTGAAGACCAAAGATTAATTTGAACATCTGAACCTAGCCCAGCAGCTTTGCTGTGGTTTAGTATAGTAGCCATGACAAACCACACTCATAAACGATTATTTGTTTTTGGTTAATAAACCTTGGCTTACGTTAACCATGACTTAGCATTGTAAGCAAATTAGTCCACTGTGTACAAGTACCTCTTCCTCAGAGCTTTTTTTAAAATGTTCTTAATGTCTCCTAAGATGCTCTTCAAATAACCACCAGGTGTCTTATAAGCAAAAAGTCTGTATAAGGTCTGCCAACCTATTCCTGGCACATCTGTGGCTTTGCATTATTCCATTTGGCTAGAAAACTGAAATGGGGTTATTATACCCAGCTAATAAGATATATTTGAATAATATAAAAGCTATAAAAAGCCATAGCAAAACAAAATACAGAGGTTGGGAATGTTGTAATGATTATAGAATCTAATCCATTGTGACTGAAGTGGCTTTGGCTTTATTTTTAAAAATTGTAGAACTCATTGTAGGTCACAGTCCAGCATAGAAGTTAAGCACATTTTGAGCCTGTGGAAAAACAATGAGCTTAAACACAGGCAACTCACTTTGATGAGGCTTTGTGGCTTTAATTATTCCCCCTTTATTAACATAACTTCATTTAGTAATGTCCCCTGGACACGATTAATTATCTCAGTGGTTTTCCTTTCACAGCACCTGTGCCTCTGAGTTTTAATCTTTTCCAGCTTCCATGACAGGCTAGGTGGTCTCCTGTGGTTACTTTAATTGGCACATCATGAAAAGAGTCCACGGGGATTGTAGAGAAAACAATCCATTTTCTTGTTCTTGCACCATTCAGGAATGTTTAACATTGACTTAGTGTAGACTTCCGGGTTAGCGCCATCACCGAATGGCGGACTCCCTCCGAGCTCCGGAGGGAGTCTGCTCGGCAGGGGCTGGGTCCTACCGCGCCGGCGACGCGGGGACCCTTAAAAACCACGGGCACGGAGTCCGTGGACATGGGTGACTCGGCTTGCACCATTAGCGCCCTCCCGACTCGTGAAGGAGCCTTTTAAAGGCTTCGGATCGGGTGCCGGGGAGTGGCGTGGTGCTTGAGTCCACTGCTTTCCCTGCCGAGCGCAGCCGCATGCCATTCGACGGAGAGCGCTGACTTCTTCTATTGAAAATTTGGACTATTAACAACAACCCGTGAGTAATTGGGAAACCGGGTTCAAAATTTTGGATTTGGCACGAGCGGGGCGATTTAAAAGGAAGTCAATCCCCCTATTGTAAGCATTCCAAAACAAGGACTGGGTAACCAAGGTCCAAAGGGAAGTATGTCTCTGATAAAAATCATTAATTTCACGATGGGAAATTATAAGAAATGTGCTGGAGGAGAAGAGTGGAGGGTGAGAAGAAAAATGCAACCCCCCTGGGACCCGGGGCGATTCGTGGAGCCTGGTGAAGAGAGACGGCGACTTTGACAGCTGTCAAAGTGGCTGTCAAAGCTGGAGAATATAAAGAGGACTTTGTTATGAGGACCTTGCTGGTTAAATTTTGTTACAATTTGCTATAATATGGATATAAACTGTTGGAAAATAAGCAACAATTTGACTTTTGGATTAGAGGATACAAAGTTATTACAATCCCCCTAGAGGGGTTTCGGGATACTACAAGAACGGTCGTAAGTGGAAAAATACCCTGGGATTCGCACAGGATTTGTTATCTTCTGGGAAAGCTGCAAAACTGAAAGAGTATTTTGTCTACAGAGGAAGACAATGGAATTTTTTATTGAAGAAAGAAAGGGACTGGACGTAAGTTTTTGTTCCTGAATAACAAACCTCTGCAGAGACACTAGATTTCTGAATTAGAAAGTTTTAGCAGCTGAACAGGACAAGAAATCTGAGAAAGTGAGGAATAAGAAGAATAAAGGAATGATTACGACACGGAAAGAACAACGGGAGGAGTGGTAAAGATCAAGGAAATTAAAGGCCTTTGTTAGATTGGACATTTGAAGTCAAATATTATTTAAATTAATAAATTTAAAGAACACCGGCAAGATGGGATGGGGGAGAAATCTGGTCAGGAACTGAGACTTCCAAGCTGATAGTGGAGAGACTGATGGACATGGGAATTCAAACCGGGGAAGGGGGGGGGGGGAGATTTGAAATCCAAAGGCTGTGTAACCATTTTGAATTTTTCTATATCTCTTATTTTCTATTTCTTTACATAACTTACGCATGTTATTTTACTTTGATCGGACGCGTTTAAAAAAAAGGGAATTTGTGGAAGGAACTGGGGTGGATCTTGGGGAAATCTTTTTTCTTTTTCTGTTAATGATGTGGGACGGTGGTAAGATTTGTACAATTCAATCTGGATAGTGGGTTAAACAAATTAAGCTTTAAATTGGGAGTGAGAGCTTGTAGAACCAAATTAAGGAAAGGGAATACAATTGGGGGAGGGGGAGTCCCAGAAAGTAGGGAATGAAAGTAAGGTTTTTAAATATCTTCTTTCTTTTGTCTTTTTTGTTTGGATTTTTATATTTTTGGAAACTTTAATAAATATGATTTAAAAAAAAAAAAAAAAACATTGACTTAGTGTACCCTTCCTCAACCTGGTGCCTTCCAGCTGTTGTTGGGCTCTCAACTCCTGTCAGTCACCCCCATCATATCCCATTGGACAGGAATGTTGGCAATGGTAGCCCAAAACATCTAGAAGGAACAAGGCTGCGGGAAGGCTGGACTAGTATATGAAATGGTTTCATTGGGATTTAGATGTTACCGCATACACAATTAGAGAGCGAAACTTGCTAATAAAAATATTTTCTTTTCTTTTTTGTTCATGCATATTATAGCATGCATATTTTTCATTAAAAAAAAATGAAAACAAGCTCTCCGTGAGTTGTCAGGTGTTGGCTATTGCAGTTATTACCTTTGATTTCAGAAAGGCGAGAAAGGAGATCCTGGCATGAGTGGCTTTACTGGGCAGAAGGGAGAACCAGGAGTTACTGGTTTGATTGGCCCACCAGGCCCAAGAGGAGGACAAGGAGAGAGGGGATCTCCAGGAACTCCGGGGGCAGATGGAAAACCTGTATGTATGCTGCCTGAGATGACTTTTTTCATGCTGACCAATTTCTTTTCAAAAACGAGCCCATGTCACCTTTTTAATGCTTCTCTGTTCAATTTAGGGAAGAGGCTTTTCTGAAGAATTTATTCGGCAAGTTTGTGCAGACGTGCTGAGAAGTGAGTCCCCCTATTGATTCACGGTGCTGCACTGTAGTCACCTTGCTGGGATGCACCTGTGTGAGCTTTAGGACATGTGCCTAAATTTCCTACAGTCAGGTGGAGAACCTTTCTGGCCCAGTGAGCCAGATCTTTATCTCCCTGCATACCACCCTTGGGGGCCAATCTTGACAGGTGCTTGACACCTATCAAAGTTGATCTGTAGGCGTAAGGGGAGATAGTTGAAAGGGCTTGCTCAGCCCTGTGCACAACGCTTCTCAAATGCCTGAAAACCAGCTGATGAGTGTTTGGGAAGCCCTGCGTGCAACTGCCAAGTGTAGGGGTAGCAAGGGTTTGGGAAGCAGGGTTTGGCAGTTCCTGCAAATCCCCTTTTGTTCAAGCCCTGCATTCATCATATATGACTTCAGGGATAGAGCAGGTGAGCGTGGCTTGCCTGGAAGAGCCTTGCAGGCCAAGTAGGGAGACCAGGTTGGCCAAATCTGGCCTGTGAACTGGAGGTTCTCCACCTCCGCTCTACAGTGTGCAGAGGTTTAAAGGGAGGGAATACATGGTGGGCATGACACAGTCACAACTAAGGAAATTTAAATCTGACTGATTTCAAGGGGTGAGCATGTGCATAAATCTCCCACTATAATCAGTGGAGCTTTTTTAATTACTTGACATAACTAGATCTCAATTTGACCAAGATGCAATAATATTTTCAGACAATTTGGTTTGGTTTGGTGTTTGGTTAGCTTTGTGTATTGATGGTGAGGATATGCTCCCTTTGGTCTAAGCATTTTAATCTGCATTCCCCTTAGCCCAGTTGCCTACAATACTTCAGAATGGGAGGCTACAACACTGTGATCATTGCCAGTCTCGTGGCCCTTCCCCAGGGCCTCCTGGTCCGCCAGGCCCACCTGGCCAAGAAGGTCCTCGAGGATTTCCTGGCTTGCCAGGAAATGATGGTGTTCCGGGCCTGACAGGAGCTCCTGGGCGTCACGGATCGCGTGGACCAAAAGGTAATTGTCTGTATGCCTCTTGAAACAAAATTCTCTTTCCAGCCTAGAGATCTGTACTGAATAGGCATTGAACTGGAGAGTGTGAAAAACTTGAGCTTGCACATTGTCAGTCAGCCAGGGCAACATGCTTAGCCACAGGCAATCCATAGAGCCTCCAGGTTTCATTATCTCTCCATTCTCAGTCTGGCTCCTCTTCTTCTCTTATTAAAAAACTCAAAGGGATTGAAGCTGCCTTATACTAAGTTCATCTAACTCAGTGTGGTCTACACTGGTGGGCAGTGGCTCTCTAGGGTTTCAGAAGGAGAATTTTTTGTTATTGCCCACACTTCAATGGAACTAACCATGAAATAAGTCTGTAATACGATTGCTATTCTTTAGCTTGATCCTATGCTTGGAAGTATATCTCGCTGTCTCAGTGGAGCTGAAACCCAAATAAGTATGCATATTTGGAAAGCTACCTGCAGAGGGATTTAGGGCCTTTGAATTATAATCTTCACCATACTGTCTTCACATCAGGCACAATGGACCAGCAAGTTTCTACAGAGCTGCTGCTTTAAACATTCTGATTGTCTGTTTTTTAAGACAGTGTCTTTTACTAAAGACGGGGTTCTATTTTAGTGAAGGAATATCTTACCCTCCACCTAACCAACTACTAAAAAAAATGTAGATTATATTGTTTGCCCCCTCCCCCAAAATATGTTTCATGAACCAAAAATTGTGGTGAAATGGTTGCACATAGCTCTGCTTACCATTAGTAGGAGGATTACATTAACACTTTAATTTGAAGTGCATGAAAGTTTACATTTCTGAATCCTGTTCCTTTCATGGTTCGATCCTATCATATCCATTAGGATACTAGGAGGAAGGTCTAAATCAAGAGAAATGAAAGTGCTACTATCTTTTAAACTGTCACAGCTTGGGCTTTGTTCGTTAAAACACATGCTTTTGCCCATTCTATTGACAGGTGAATTGATCAAATAAAGAAATAGTGCTTCTGTAACATTGCTTTAGGCATTGTCTGCTGTTGTGTGTGTATTCATTTGAATTGTACAGTTTCAGATGTACAGTTTTTCTAGGACATTGGTGGCTAAACTTTTTTTGGCTCAGGGAACACATGCACTCCTTTCTGAGGGTCAGATGGCAGCAGTGAGTGTGGCTGAATGTAGGTGTGACCACACCCCACGCTCCTACTTGAACACATGCACACCCAGCTAGGCAGCCAGTCCTTCGTGCTAATCAGCTGAGAAAGAGGGATGTATCACTCCCCTCTATTTATCACATCAGTAAGATGACTGGGGAGGTGATGATTTGTATCCCCATCAGGGTGCTGGGCTCTACATACCCCAGTGTTGTGTCTGTTTTAAATATATCTATATGTAATTATTTGTTGCTACTGCCACCAAATTTGGTGGGATCAGGGGAGGAAGAGGAAAAAATGCTTTGGTAGGCTGGATGAGGCCCCAAACTGGGGGTTCTAAGGGAAATTTGGGGACAGATTCATTCTCCCCCCCACCCTGTTAATTTTTATTCCAACTACTTGAGGAATTGGGTGCATATGTTTTAAGCTGGAAAGCCTGGGAAATCTGCCACTTACCCCATGAGAGCTCTTTTCTTCATTAGCCAAGAGGGAGCAATTATGTGGAAAATATTTTTGATGAAAGCAAAACCACTAGAACCTATATTTTTAATCTGTTTAAAGAGGTACTATAAACTTCTGAACTTCAGTTACAAGAATAACAGTAAAACCAAACCAAACCACGTACAACCAAAAACAAAACCCAACACCATTAAAACAACCCAACCCTATCAAGGAACAAATTTTTACATATGTCTACTCAGAAGTAAACCCCAGAGTGCAGTAGGGCTTACTCTGAAGCAAGTGGGTGTAGGGCAGGCATCCCCAAACTTGGCCCTCCAGATATTTTGGAACTATAACTTCCATCATCCCTAGCTAACAGGACCAGTGGTCAGGGATGTTGGGAATTGTAGTCTCAAAACATCTGGAGGGCCGAGTTTGGGGCTGCCTGGTGTAGGGTTACAGCCTGTATATTACATTAGATTCTAGTAGAGGCCTACTTACCTTTTATATGAAATATTCCCCAAGAGTACTGAGATTCTTATGCAGCAATAACAATGTTCTTATTCAGTAGCTGTCATTTTTCTCAAAGTGTTATGTACCAATGTGCTAATTGTGTTCTTAAAACTTGAACCTTCTTCTCCAATGGTCATTACATGAACTGAGTACTTTTTCAGTTATTATTGTTGCCTTTCTTTTCTACTTTTACAATTTTTAAAATGTAATATATCCATGAACCACTAGATCATTTTAAGCACATCCTTAATTGAAGTATGTGGTCTGAAGACATAAACAGTAATTACAATCTGCAGTGTGGATACAATTTTGTCTGTTTCACATTTCAGAATTTTTATCTGATGATCATCGGTCTTCAATGCATGTGAAATATTTTCACACCACTTATTATCTTAGCCTCTTTCATCATGATAGTTATATTATTTATTGTGTTTATATTCTGCTCTCTCAGAACTGTTTCCTTCATTTGATCCTCACAACAATCCTGTGAGGCAGGTTACGACTGAGTGTGAGCCCAGGGTCACCCATTGAGCTTCCAGTTGGGATGAGTCCTAGGGCAAAATTACCGCATTTTTCGCTCTATAAGACGCATCAGACCACAAGGCGCACCTAGTTTTTGGAGGAGGAAAACAAGAAAAAAAATATTCTGAATCTCAGAAGCCAGAACAGCAAGAGGAATCGCTGCGCAGTGAAAGCAGCGATCCCTCTTGCTGTTCTGGCTTCTGGGATAGCTGCGCAGCCTACATTCGCTCCTTAAGACGCACACACATTTCCCCTTACTTTTTAGGAGGGAAAAAGTGAGTCTTATAGAGCAAAAAATACGGTATATCATATGTCACCTCTCTAATTCTGCCTTTCTATCCTTAAAAAAATAGTACCATATACTCCTGATACATGTTGACACACTTGGTTCCTGAATTAAAATTGGAGGTACACTTGATTTTTACAAAGGATATTTTTATAATGTGAAACTTACCAGCACTCAGAAAAGCCCATCACTGCAGAAATTACTGATTTTGGCACATCTCTGATTGGCAAGAGGTGACACCAGAACAGTGACTCAGGCAGACCTATGGACAGCCTCCTCTGAGGCTGCAGAATTCTGATGCATGTTTGCATGCAAAGTGGTTCAATGGTCAAATCACACCCAATGCAGAAAAGCAGCAGAATTTCTCACCTCCCCTTCAGAACCTAATTAGATGGAGGCAGGATGATAGTGTTCAGCCATGCCAAAATAGGAACTCTGAGCTTATGGGAATTCATTTTTACTCTCAGTACACCGGTATGTCTTAGTGCACACTTTGGGAACTACTGACAATATGCATATTATGTCTGGCACTTTACAGGACTACCTGGAAAAAATGGAGCTAAAGGAAGCCAAGGAGTTGGGGTCCCTGGGATGCAAGGACCTCCAGGACCTCCAGGTATTGTTTGGAGAAGCCAGAAAGCTTTGGAGCTAACGTGCTCTAAGATTGCACTACTTAGCTGACCCTTTCAAAGAGTCACTTATGTTGGCTTTAGTGGGACTTTTCCACAGAACCAGCCATCAGTACTGCGGCTTGGAATTTAAAAATCAAATCAGTAGATCATCTTAATGCATCTACATAGCTGGTTGTTCCTCAGGGAAAAGCTGGGTGGACAGGTGAATTTTAAGTAGGCACCTTAGTACCAGTATCGTAACTGCCTTCCTGATTATCATTGGGAGGGTAATCCAGGGGGCAGGTGCTGCCACATTAAAGGCCCTGGTCTTAGTGGGCACAAGGCAAACCTTGGAAGCACATGGCACTATGAAAGGTATCCTGCCTGAGGATCAAAGTGACTAGGCTGGAGTAAACAAGTTAAAGTGCTTCCAGAGGTGACTGTGTCCCAAGTTGGACAGGTCTCCACCTAGAAGCATAGCACTGTAGAGTTGGAAAGGGACCCCAAGGGTTGGTCATCTCATCAAAACCCCTGCAGTGCCTGTTGGCAACCAGTGCTGCTCTTTCAGCACAGGTTTTATGTACTGTCAGTAGGGCAATCCCTTCTTGCTGCAGCATTCTGCACTAGCTACAGTGCCCAGGCTAACCTTAAGGAAAGTTCCACATAAGGTTGCATTGCAGTAATCCAGTAAAAAACCAGTGCCTCGACCACCAAAGCTAAACTATCCCAATTCAGAAACAACCAGAGCTGCCACAGTGGTCAAAGCTTGCAGAATACACAATGAAGCTACCTGGGCCTCCGGTGACAAAGAGGAAACCAGGAGCATTCCCAAGCTACATATCTGCTCCTCAAGGAGCAGTGTAACCCCATCCAGGGCAGGCAGCTGGTCTATTTATCTGATCTGGGAACTGCTCACAAACATTGTCTTACCAGGATTCCATCTCACTTTATTGATGCACATCAAGTCCACTGCTGCACCTTAGCAGAGGTCCAGTTCTTTTTGCTCAGGGATGATGGACATCAGCTTTCTGGAAGATGCTCCTGTGCCACTACTAGGGCTGCCTGGGTGGCACAGACTCCTCTCTTACTGCAGCAACCAAGACACTTTCATATGTTATTCACGTCAGCGCCTTTAAACCTAAAAAAGTAAATACTTAATCAGGCAGGGTGGATCATGCTAGAAATCTTTAATAAATTGTAATACCTTACCAGCACTAAACACACTCCATGTATATATTTCATATATTGTTAAGGTCCTGAAGGTCCACCTGGGATAAGTAAAGAAGGATATCGTGGAGAACCCGGGAAGCCAGGTAAAGATGGAGACCGTGGAAATCCTGGAAATCCTGGACAAACTGGACCACCTGGCATCTGTGACCCGTCTTTATGCTTTAGTGTAATTGTAGGAAGAGATCCATTTAGAAAAGGACCAAACTATTAATTTGGGATGTGTTAGTGGCAGACTAGACCTGGTGCTTGTCTTCAACAATCTTTCAAGTCTCAGGAAGATGACTGGCAATAATCCTCTTTCCCAGAAACTAAAGTACCTCTGATGTGTAATGTAATATGGTAAAATATTCCATATTAAATTTAAGAATCTAAATATGTATTGGGCCTATCAAATAACATGCTCCCCCATCCAGTTAAACTTAGTTATCACTGTACATTTAAAAACAATGAAACCACATAGTTGTCGTTTATTTAAATCCCATTGCTATCAGTCATGACTAACTTTATCTGGATTGGAGAGTGAATTTTAACGGAATGATACTGTTGAAGTCCATTGGCAACACTGCTGGAAGACGGATTGGGTCCTCAATGTTTCATGATCAGCTGTATACCACTGTGAAGTATTTTTTATCCAGCCTAAATATGCAGCATCTGAATTTTAATGGAACATGGCTGATTTTTATTTCGTTTGTCAATTTCATCCATTTGTGTATGTTTCATATTTTTCTGGTTAACGGTTTTCTTTTGAAAAATGTATGAATCCAAGTCTTTTTTTATATATAAAAAACAACAACCCCCATGTTGTCCTCAAAACAACCATGCGACTATCCAATTTTACATTTCCATCTACAAGTAAAGAAACCTCTAGAGGCACCTTTAAAAACTTAAAAATGCATTTTTTTATATAAAAAAGGTTTCTAATTATATTCTGGACATTTTTTTTATCATACTGTTGCACAACCAAGCTTAACCATATTTAATTTTTTTCAGCTGATTATAGAACTGAGTGTTTTTGCTATGCTCCATAGGACTGCGGTTGTCAAACAAAAGTTTACAAGCTGTGCTTTATGCTTACTACATAACTACAGTGTTCTTTATGCTGCTTCTTTGTACATTTTAATTAAGGCATTTCTGTGTTTATATTGTAAAACAAGATGCAATCAAGAAGCACTGCTGGCATCCTAATAAATTCAGTTGTACAATTTCTATCTGAAGTTGACGCTATTTTAAGCTTTAATGCAAAAAGTCTTTTATTGCACCTACGCAAAGCTTTATAGCTGGCCTTTTGTTGTTGTTGTTTTCTGTCATTAGTAATATGCTTGACATTCAAGGTAAAAAGTTTTTTTAAGATTTTGTGGTAATAAAAGCAATTTTTTCACTTGTTGAGCTGAGTTTTTATTAATCACGTGAATTATGTTCTACAGAACATTATTCGCCCAACTGCATACCAACAAGATAAAGGCAACAATGTCCAGACTGGACAGCATTCTGCTTACAAGGCCTGATCCCCCCTGGTAGAAACAACAAACATTGGTAACATTAAAATCACAGACCACGCCCCAGTAGACGCTACCCTCAGGAGAGGAAGCACAAATTACCCCCATCATGGTCCTTTAGCCCCATCCTAATCACAAACCAACTAGCTAAAAAGAGTCTCTTCAAAACTACTGTATGGACAATGATGTGGGTGACATAACTCACCCCACCCGCCGGGACACAATGAAAGCCATAATCAGACAAGCCTGCATAAAGGAGAGGGCATCCCTTAAAAAACAAAGCTCCTCAAAAATGGGTAAATTAGAACAACAAATTACACCCCTCTCATCAAACTACAAACAGGAGCCAAAAAGCTACTTAAACTCATAGAACGAAAAAGAAGGGAAATTGACTCTCTCGAACAATGATTAACATCCTATACTCTAAACAACACTTTTACGAATATGGAGGGAAGAACTCCAGTCTATTAGCAAACAGATGCAGGAAAAAATAACTCAAAACAAGAATACATTGTGTCACTAAAAAAAGACCGTAACATAACATCATCTGCCAAAGAAATAACTTCAGAATTTGCTGAATTTTATGCCAATCTGTATACCTCCCGCAACCCACCTGAACATCCCCGCAACAGCATACCCATTTCTCTAAAACAAACTAAAGAAAATCCCCACAACACTGAACAGGTTCACACAGTCCATGCTTAAATCATGGAAGGGGAAAGTAGGCAAATTATCCCTATCCCTATCCCTATCCCTATCCCTATCCCTATCCCTATCCCTATCCCTATCGCTATCACTATCCCCATCCCCATCCCCATCCCCATCCCCGCTAACTCCCCTGGCCTATCACCCACTATTCCAACACGCAGCACAAAACCTGCAGATAAAAACCTGGCAAACCAAAGGTCTACACTGTCTAAAAGACTGCTACAAAAACAACAAACCCACACCAACACAAGAAACACACAACAAACTGGGGGACACCCAAATACCTTGGCTAACACATCATCAACTACATGCCTTCTTAAACAATCCAGCAGTAAAATCAGCAGCGACTAGGCCCTTGACCACCTCTGAAAACCTCCCGACAGCAAAGGGACACAGTATACAAAATGCTGCTCCAAAATACCACAGACCCCCTTGACAAAGCAGGTAGTAAGTCTGCAGAAATACAGGGAAAGGTTGTGTGAAGTGGGGAGAGTCCTTTAAAGAAGATGGGCAGATGGTGGGGGGAATTGAAGAAGTGAGGAACCGAAGAGAAAGGGGAGTTGTAGATAAACTGCACATAGCCTAGAAACAGGAGTAGAAATATGCTGTGAGCAAGAAAAAGCTGTACAGGCAATGGAAGACTGATTGCTGCAAAGGAACTGTTTCCATAGAACCAGGGGACCATTTTGTCTGTGGGCTTCAAGTCTGTAATTACTGAAGACAAAGTACAATTATTCAGTCCGATTAATATTTTTAAATGGGTTTCTGACAGGTGCTATTTAATACTGATTGAGAATGTTATTGGTGCAGTTAGTTTGGTTAAAAATGCATAATTATTTTTTAAATATTCATCGTAATTGTTTGCCACTTCGAATGCAAATTTATAGAATACGTGGTGAAGAATCCAGTTGAAGCCAGCTCTGGAGCTGTCCAGATATTATGCTTTTCTCAATACTGTTTCTTAAAATGTAAATCCTACATTTTCAAATGTCAGTGTCTGGATGCGTTTGAGAATAAAAGGTACTTGGCATAGATACTTTGTGCTCCTTCATATGTGATATCCAGCAGATGGCAGCAAAACAAAGCCCTGTGGCACAGATTGTGGTCAGTTGTTCCCAATAATAGCAGCCGGGGGATTTTGGAGAGGAAACTGATACAGGCTCTGATCCAGTTTACGAGCACATGCCAGATTGGGGCCTTGCAGCTAACTTGCTCTTTTCCCTCTGAATAGCCTGCCATTTTTAATATAGGTGTGCTAATCATAACAAAAATAGGTTGGTCTTGGTGATCTTATTTGTATGCAGACAGGCATATCCATTAAACAGAACTGCATGAGTGCAAACTTGCAGCAATCAGTCCACGCATAATGAAGCCTATCCTCCTTCTTGCCATACTATCAACCTCACTACACAAAAACACAATGCGAAAGGCCAGTGGTAGTATAATGTTGTTGCACAGATACCAGCATTCCATGACGATCACTAAAAACAACACTCAGGCTGTGTAAAACGCAATCCATACGAGCCAATTGCTCAACGAGCCAATACAAACCACAACAAAAAAGACATGCAAAGGAATGTTAACGTTGCAAATTGTGCTAGCTTTGTACATGCCAACTATTTCTTGGCTTTCATAATGTCTGAGTTGCAACTTAATATGGGCTGTTGAACTGACAATTGTAATTGTGGACTAATTACAATTACAAATGTCCTAATAATTACACAGACTGATCTTTCCACTGCTTAGCAATGTAGGGTTTTCTTTCCTTGCAGAAAGCTCTTCTGCGTAGCAATATCAGTCATTAAACTTGCTTTCTTCACTATAGAGTTCATGAGGAATTGGTTTTTCCTGTATTTGGTGGGTAATTGCATGCCTTCAGGGAGTGTGGTATTGAGTTAAAAGCAGTGACTTTTCAATAGAAGAGACGTCCATTTGCTGACATTTATTTGACTGTTATCAATGTAAATCATACTGTGGGTAGTAGACCCAAAGAAATAAATAAACTAGTAATTTAAGTTGATTGATTTCACTGGCCTGATCTTGAGTATAATTAATGTGGAACACCACTCTTTATGTATATTTTTTTCCTCTGTACTTCTAAAAAGTATTTATTGCATTAAATTTCAAAGCATTTATCTGGAATGCTTCAGCCTGTAATTGCCTTGGATTTTAATATTCTGAAGCAAAACATCCTTTAAAAAGATCAGCACAAAACAAAGAAACACCAAATAACTAAAAGTTCTATTTATGTCCATCATTTCTGGACTCCAAAAGGAACATTCCAATGGCAACCACAGCAAAACCATAAATTCAGAAACAGTATTGTGCTTTTTGCCGTTTAGCTTAAACCACATAAATTTTATGCAAAAATAAAGATTTGAATGAAGGTTCAATTTTTATTCATATGTTTGGACCAAATATTTCTGATGTAACCAAAAGCTTATGGTTATTCTACATATCAGGGGCACACAGCAGCCAAAGTTAAGCAGTTTTAGGTGCAATCCATTACACATTTACTTGGTAGTAAGTCTCCTTGAGAAATCTTGCCTGCAAAATAGTGGAAGAAAGCAATTTTGGTATCTATTCCCCACTTCACAATAGGCTGCTATGTCCACTAAAAATCTGATCCAAAGGGTTCAGATGGGAGGTGGTGCTGGAGACTTAAGGGGGGAGAAATCAGGAAAAAAAAAATCTTGCCCGCCCCACTTCAAGCACTAGGTGCATCCCAAGTAGAACTTAAGCACATTTATTCCCCTTGAAAATAAAACTGGAACATACAAAGTCCAGCCCTGCTCACGGTGGGTATTGAACCTGAGACCTTCTGTAGGCAAAACATGGTCTGTCACTGAGCTGTGTTCTTTCCCCAAGGGACTATGTAGAGGAGGAACTAAGATCAAGCTTGAACATTATAATACTAAGGAGCTGGGTGTTTTGTCTTCAGTACGCCCTTGGAATAGGCTTCTGATGCAGAGATTAATTGGCAGCCTGTAGACATACGTCTTTGTGTACATGATGCTGGCAGAGCTTAATCTGAGTGACAGCTCAGTGTGGCTCAGCCTGGAAATCGGTTTCTCTGTGCCAGATTTGAGAACTCATTTCATGCATGTGCTGATGGTCTTTTTCAGAGAATATCTCATGGTTCTTTATTTTCTACAGTTTATAAGCCTACCTTTTACAGGGTGGGTTGCAATGTAAGTACCAACGTAACCCACAATAATAAATATATAAAATATCAGATGCAAAAAAAAAAAAGGTTGTATCCAGTGAGGTCATTCTGTCTGAGCAAAGACTTCCAAGTCCTCTCTTTGCAAGCCGCCTGCACCCCCCCCATCTGTTCCAGAGAGCTGTGGCAAAGGGCCTAGTGGAGGGCAGTTATACCACTTTCTAAGAGATCTGAAGCAGCCTCCAGCCAGTGTAAACAATACTGACCAATGGTCTGACTCAGAATAAGAGTGTTCCAATGTATGAAAAAAAAAAAAGGCAAAGTACCGTGAGGATTATTTTAATGAGGATAGGAATCTTGCAAGGTAAATACCATCTGGAATTGGTATTTGCAGACATGGAGATTTGAGTCAAATCCTTACCAACAGTAGGAACATGCTCTTATTTCTACCAAAAACAACAACAAACCAAAACAAACAAACAAACAAACAAACAAACAAACAAACAAACAAACCCCTTTGTAGGTTTCACCATCTTTTCCACTGGTAACAATGTGGCACCAGTTTTGCTTTGGGGCTTTCCTAAATTTTAAATAAACACATAAGTATTAATTTGTGAAGAGAGTAGTCATTCACTTGGCCTGAAGAACTTGGCCCCTTAGATAGCAAAGGATGAAGGAAAATAGCTCTACTGAGTGCTAGGAAATAACTGGCATCTAGGAACAGGGTCTGGACAATCGGGCAAGAAATCAGAAGGATCCCAGCACAACACTATCTAATATCTTGGTTGGAAATTGGCAGTAAAAACAAAAAGTTCCTAAGTAGTGTTTGCTTTTTTAGAAAAGCCAAATATGACTTTTTATACATCCTTCCAGTAGTTTCACATTTATTTCTCAGAAAATGGGAGAGGGCAATCATTGAGAAGATGATAAAAAGTATAGTGGCATAGTGATAAATGCTCAAAACTTACATCAGATGTGAAACAGACTGCTTTCACATTTCCACATTCTCATTTTTTGAAAAAGATCACCTTACTTAATCCTTTACTGTAGCAAAACTGATGCTGCTTAATGACTCTATTAGCCTTATGATGATAAACCTTTATGGGCAACTTGCACAAGAGCAAATTAATGTAGTGTACAAGCCACTGACTGCAGCAAGAGAGAAAGACAGCATAAAACATAGAACCAAATCATTGCAAAAATATGAATATGTATATTTAGACTAGAAACCAAATATTAAGCTAATGTAAGTAAAAAATAGGCTCAAGGACATACGAAATACAGTAATGATTGCTGATGTAGGAATGCTTTGGGGATTTTATTTTTGTGAATTTTGATACACACTG